GTTCCACTGTGCCCGGTACGGACGTCGTGTGCGTGAACAAGTCTTGGCATTTGGGATCAACAAGGACATTGATCGCCGCAGCCTGACGTGCATTGACAACAATGTCGAAGCGGACACGCACATCCCTGACGAAGGTCTACTGCTCTACCCAGTGGCGGTCCGTGCTCCTACGGGGCACAAAGAAGGATCTTCAAGAGACGACGTTTCGTTACTGTCCTCGTTGCTTTCACATCCAATCGCACCCAACACCATTCTGTCATTACCGGTCTGTTTTCACATCACCAAGAAGACCAACCTCCGAAGCATTTGGAGGCAGGGATTAATTCCAGGAGGTCTTGGAGAAGGTCATCGGATGTTCACGTTCTTCAACCCGTATGTGCCATGGGATCACAGATCATGGACCATCACGAAGAGCGTTGATACGCGCAAGGGTGACTACATTTGCTTGTTCATCCCGACCGAGACCTTGATGGTGGAATATGGCGGTCGACTAACTGACTCGGGACAGATCATTTCACCAAGGATCATCCCGTTCTCGGCAATCAAAGGAGGATGGATTCAGGACCCCAAGGACCAATACAACAAGACATGGCTCCGGTTGTTCGTCCCGTCGGGCGACGACCAGGTAGTCCGGTCTGGAACTATCAAATCAAGAACGGTAGCCACCAAGGAGTCCATCCTGAGGGTTGCAAGTCAATGCATCGACGCCGAAGACCAACCGTATGACGAAATCGCCATGGATGCCATGAACATCGTCAACCAGTTCAAGAACAACCTCATCGAGCCTGGCGGACAAGAGCAATACCTGGCCCGCATCAAGCTGATTGACTACATAGTCGAGCGCAAAAGGGTGCAAACGTCAGGTTGCCGTCATTGTCCTCACTGTCTCAACGAGACGCCGACAAAGCTAGCAGTGTGTCTAGTCTGCTGGACGGAACTTGAAAGTTGTGGAATCCGTCCATATCGGCTACAAGCTCCTGAAGACGATGAAGATGAGGCCACAAAGAAAGAGCTCGATGAAGAAGTTCGTCGACAAGAAGAATCGTTGCTCAAGGATACGGTCAATCAAGCACAAGAAAACGTATCTGAATCCAACGACTATGGCTTCAATCCTGACGAGGTCGACTACAATGAAGGCGATGATGAGGAAATGGATCAGGAGGAGGAAGCTCAACAGGAAGACGACGAAATCGTTGAAGAAGACGACGATGAAATGGACGTCGAACCTGAAGATGAACCTTCTTCCAAACTTCCAGCATGGACTAAGAATCTTGAGAGCGGCAGCAAGGGTATGCCAGAAGACGGACTTATCAACAATGATGTCTCCGAGGCCGCGGCTCACTTGTATGACAATGCTGTCATGTCAAAGGTCATCACAATGTTCAGGCTCTACTATAAACAGAGAGTCACTCTGACCCCAGAGGAGTACTACGAAATGATGACGGAAACCAAGCGAGTCCGGCTGGACCTGGACGACTTCTGCCCCTACACAGGCGAAGACCAGGATGGCAACCTCAAGCGACCGACAGAGCTGGAGTTGGACGAACTCTTTCAGGAGAAAGGGAAAAGGAACTCATGGTCAGAGGGAGAGAAGATGTACTCAGGACGACCAAGAAACATGATGATGCCTGTCATCAAGACTTTGGAGATCTATGAAAAGATGATGGAATTTCTGGTATGCGCCGGGTACACTCCCGAGTCATTAGGTTTCCTCATGCCAATGAACCGAATGCAGGCTGATGCCCAAGGGAAGCAGGAGATGCGAGTGACCATCAGCAACTTTCTTCGACGACTGCTGAAAGGAACCTTTCCAGAACACGAATCATACACCTTCTTTCGCTCCGGGAGCCACGGCTTCCCCAACTGCATCGAACTCCCAGCTTTCTCGGTATATCTGAGTCTGAGGGAGAAGGAACAAAGAGTGGAATTACTCTTTGCCGCCCAACAATGTGGCATTCCTTTACCTCAAAACTTTGTCAGCAAGATGGCTTATGCTATTCAACTGGCTGAGGCCGAGGCGCAGAGGGGAAAGACCGAGATGAAAACGAAGATGGCTCCAACCCTTGGCGACGAAGTGGTGAGTGAAGTATTCAAAGCAGTCGGACATACTGCCGCTTCCAAGTTTGCCACCGCAGACGCGAAAGCCAAATCATCAGCACAACCTTCACAGAAACCCGAAGGCACTGGTTCAGCATCATCCTCATCGGCCAGCGCACCAAAGGCTAAGGCTATGCCGAAATCCCATGAACCATCAAAGGCACCGCCTGCGAAGCCCTCATCGCCGAAAGCTGCTCCGAAACGTGCGGCAGGATGGGAGAAATCTCAAACAACACCTCAATGGAAGAAAGTCCGCCGTGAGCAGTGAACCCATTACCTCTGTCCGTCAAAATGATCACTGAACTATAAGATGTGTATCGTCTTTGTGAACAGATGATCAGGAAAAGATCAACTGAGTGGACTCTGAGCGAGGCAGTAGACTAATTCGCTTAGGTTCAAGACTTTTGATATTCCCAATCTGCATGAGATTCTGCACAGTGCACGTGAATTCGTTAGTTAGCATCGTAAATCTTTGGTAGCGAAGCGACCCATTTCTCCCGACGGGTGAGTGGTATGCCTAGCCAACGTAGAAAAGTAGGTGTTAGCTAGCAATAATTCGCGTTGTACAGCTTGATGAAACGCCGATGCATCGACAGCCAGAGAGTAGGCGAACCCTGAACCATTATTCCCGTCGGGTATGTGGGGAAGGGGGAGCCGAATGGCATGTCTTATGTACATAGGCGTAATTCAGGTAGCAGAAACAATCTAATTCAAAGTTCCCTCTCTCGTGTCCGTGGTTCGAAGATACCACGGGCATGGGGGGTGTCAAAGGGAACTAGGCGCTAGGTGCATGTCTCACATGCATATGTCAATACATTCAAACGCCCGTTGTGGCTCAAGCGCCCGCTGAAAGGAAAAACGATCGCGTGATGCTCGCTATGCTTTGCTAGGGTTCGGCGGTCCCAGCACTAAGGTACCACCAATCAACGATATCCAGAACAAGGATCCATTTGTTCACATATATATATATGTGGTACATATATAACCTATATATATATCATATAAACGTACACATACTGCATATCCGCCTGAAAACCAACATGGAACTCAGCAGCATTGGCTTGGATGTTCTTATAGGACATGGTATTTTGGGTGGTTCCATGTTAGTTTTTCAGTCAATGTCAACCCTGGATAGGATGAGCCTGAGATCTTCAGTTTGGGAACCAAACACCATGGGGATGCAGCACATTTGTCAAAGGAAGAAGGTGATCGACGACCAAAAAAACACATGGAGATCAGTGGGTGACAATTGTTAACAAGATAAAGCCTCCGTCATTTTGTTAACAATAGTTTTTATAGAGGATATACAAAATGATAGAGGATAAAACCTCCATTTATGAATATATATCTTATGTTTCTGACAGGTTTTAGCCATATACGGCTTGTTTTAGTTGCTTATTTTCAGGCTTGTTTACCACATCTCACCTGTTTTAGTGCATCAAAACTCCAAGCTGAAAATTCTCAGATCGGTTTTGATCCGACAAAATCTGCTGAAATGCCACTTGAATCAACGGATGAAATGCCACCCCCTAGGTCTATATGCCATAGGGACAGGAAACAGAACAATTCCTTGAACACAGTTGGTAAGTTCACCATAGTTTCTGGCTAAGACTTCCCCACAAAAGAAAAAACATATCCACCATAGATCCGTTGGTTAGATTATAACTAAGTGGTGCCCCCAAAGAGTGTGTTTGTTGGTTTATGTTACATACCCCTATTTGTTTGACAATATCTATCATAAACCTTAGTCTATTGAATCTAGTTTTTCTGGTCTTAAGTATGTTGGTTTATAACCCCATCTATCTATCTATCTATCTATCTATTTATCTATCTATCTATCTATCTATCTATCTCTCTCTCTATCTATCTATCTATCTATCTATATATATATATATATATGCGTTAGAATCACATACAATCACCATGAAAACCCATCATTTTTCATCCGGACTCACAATAGGACGCTGCGCACGGGGGATGTGGTGAACTTCGGCAAGCGCAGCAGTCCTCCGGAGTTCGAGTTCGTCTTCGAGGAACGGGTGACGTCTGCGGAACGGTGGAAGATGTTTCGTGTGTTTTGGTAGGGGATCACTGATCCCTATATATAATTATATATATACATATATATAGGGATCATATGGATGGTTTAGGGGATGTGTATCAGAATTATATGATGAGCATAGGATTAAGATGGATTAAGTAAGAAGTTGAATGCCGATTTTTGCCTGAACATGAAGCAAACCTTGGGATTGAAACTGCCAACATGCGGATTTAGCCAATGAAGATAGGTGACTCAAGCAACAGACGTGGATTTTTTGTTCGCAGCAAGAATTGCATGTTCTTTTTTATTTGTTTCACCATCAGAAAGGAATGGTTACTTTACCATTTAAATCCATTCAACGAAGAAAAAACTCGATCTATAGGTACCAGTGGCAATATCCCAAAATAGAGGTACATATGGGCCGCCCCCAGTTATAAGTTGGTTTATAAACACCATTGTTATTTGCGTATCATATCAACCATAGTGCCATACTGTAGTGAAGTTGTAGTTATGTTCACCAAATGACATATCAACATATATCAACGACTGAATTTGATGCTTTGAATGGTTGCTATGTTTTTTTCTCCTCTCTGAAGCTTTCGGCGTCAAACAAAAATGCTATTCTTTGATACAAAATGATGGTTTAAAGTAAACTTTTGACCCAATCCCATCCAATCATGGAATGATTTAGATATAAAACCTATAACTCAATTTAATTAAATATATATATATAAACTGGGATGTGATAGGTTTATCCCATATTTACGTAGCTTTATCCCATATTGGTAGATATAAACCTAGCATTTTTACGGATCCTTTTGGGATGGTTGGTATGCTTGAAATGCAGGCGCCGCAGAGCGGCATGTCCGGTGAGGTGCTCCGGTGATGTGTGTGGGGGGTGCAGGGACCTCACTAGGGTCTATATAACCATAGGGCCGTAGGGACTGGTTGGTGGTTTGGAACATGGCTTTTATTTTGTCCACAATATATGGGATAATCCTTTCCATTGACTTTCATATTTTTCAAGATGGTTAAAACCACCAACCAGCATAGTTGCAGGGATTCTATCCCAAATTCTGGAGGTTAGAAAAGCATAAAATTATATCCATGAAAGTCACCTGTGGCCTCCACCCTCAAGTAATAAAATATCGGTGGTGTGGAACATGAATTTGATTTGTCCATATATTGAGAATAGTCATCACTGACTTTCATATTTTTCAGAGGGGTAGGTATACCACCAACCAGTAATTATAAGCCCAATTTATGGTATATTCACCTACATTTGGGTGATTTTTAAGGCAAATGTTGGTATATATTCCACCACCATGGAGCATATGGGTAATTATAAGCCCAATTTATGGTTCATAAGTTTATAAGGCGTTAAGTGGTATTTTAAGGGTCTACTTGCTGTAGCAAGTTTGTCTTTGATACATGGATTTGTTGAGATGATTTACTGTTGTGATACAAGACGTCTAACTATCTAATGGTACTTTTTAAACCAGCATACAGTACTGGGGGAGCCACCTTGTATTGATATGACATATAGGACATGTGTAGTGCCACATGCCTCGGGAAAGCGTGCATGTTTACTTTCGTACCGTATTATTTTGGTATACATTGGGATATAAACTGACCAGCTCAACATAAATGGGATGCTATGTGTGTTAGATCATCAGTTGTGTCAGCTTCATCGTCTTTGATGCTAAAATCATTTCTGCTTGGTGGTTTGGAACATGTTTTTTTCCATATATCGGGAATTTCATCATCCCAGCTGACGAACTCCATCATTTTTCAGAGGGGTAGGGTTGGCCCCCACCAAGCAGATTTTGTGTTTTTGGTTGAATCACAGGATCATTGGTCTGGGTAAATTATAACGACCTCACTGTGACCTCACTGGAATCATGGTTAATAAGGGAAATCATCCCCAAATGGCCGAACAATTCAGGTTGGTGAATTATTATGGCCTTTACCCAGATTGATGAAGTCTCCCTTTTTTGGATGCCAGATGCAGCTCCAGATGAAGCGCATCGCAGATCTGGAAGAGGAGATCCTGGCCGTGCTGGAAAATCCTCAACACAAATGCGATGGAAAATCACCATGTCATGGGTAAATCATGGTAAATCATTTTTTTTTCTCTGACCATTTTCAATAGCTATGTTAGACTATGTACAACATTGTACAACCGCAACCCCCATGTTACTAGTTCTCTCAAACCCCAAACTGCCTTAAGGTGCCTTAAGTTTCAGTGAAATTTCCCAGGATGTCCTGGGTTGCCACGCGTTGCTTCAGATCTTCAACCACCAATCCCCTAACGCAATACGCCAGGAGCTTCAAAGGGATAGAGAAGCGAAGCGTCAGGCCCGAAGCCTTGGGTTTTTCGTTTGGAAATAGGGTAATTGCATATTATTATTATTATTATTATTGTACATATTATAATATTACATAACTGTTACTATTATTAATTATTACACATATTGAACATATTATTAATTATTATTACACCATTGAAGAATGATCATTCACGGGATTTTGGGAGAGAACATGGGAAACCATAGGGGTTTTGGTCGGGAAAATGATGGTTAACATAATGACAGTCGGCGACACACCTTGATGTTTTTTGATGTTTTTTGTAAGGAACATGATGGTCTTTTTGTAGTGGGACATCAGCAAAAAGTCGTTTTTGTTGTTTTTTGTGGGGAAAATGATCAGTAAACCATGGGATTTGGGGATAATTACCAGACTGTCAAATCCGTTGGTCAATCCCAGGGTGGGCCAAGACTCCGCCAGGTTGACTTGGCCGGTTTCATTTTTCATGATCCATAGCTGGAAAAGCCACATCCCCAACAAACTGATGACTAATTGAAAACCACCTTATAAAATCTACCTCAGTTTTCTCGGTGGATCGCGGCCATAGATCTTGAGACTTTTTGTGGAATGGATGGGTTTACCCATGTTTACCATTTCTATAACCAATGAAAAGCAATAGTGCACTGGTTGGTGGTTTGGAACATTTTTTATTTTCCATGTCATATATGGGATGTCATACTTCCCAACTGACTTCCATATTTTTCAAGATGGTTATTGCACCACCAACCAGCATGTGTTTGTCCCCATTATTGGTGGTTAAATCATTGGTAACCTGCCGAGGCCAGTCAGGGCCTAAAAGTCTCGGAACTCTCCAGCGAATTGGCCTGTTGCGTGTGCAAGGACAGGGCTTAACAGCGCTGTTGCGCTGTTGCTTGAAAAAGCGGCTTAGATTCAGAGATGGGCAACAAAAACATTGTTGGTTTATGTGAGTTTATTATTATTTCTATACTATGTTACGATATATAGTAATATATTATGTACGGATCATCATATCGATTCTAGGAAATTCCAGGAACATCATGATAACTGAAGAGCCTGTCAAGCAAAAACTAACGTGTAGTTACTGGATGTTACTGGAGTTACGTGAGTTTCCACTGGTTGTCTCCGGGTGACAAAAACCACTGGTCCTCAGGTCCTCAGAAAACTCCGACTGTCGGACGTCCATGCCTGATAGGGCTGTTCATATTTCAAGGTGATGCCCCATTCCTAGCTAAGTTGCTTTACATCTAATATACCTATATATTCCTAGGGTTTATGGTGTATATACTATAGTATAATAGTATAATTGTCATTTACATCTATAGTCGATGGAATTGACTAAGCAAGTTACTTTAACGAGGTGAACCAGGGCTTATGGTGATTGCAACTACAGTCATGAAGCAACTTACGCAACTAGGGGGCATCACCAGAAGTACCTGTGATGTGTTTTAAACATTGTCAGGATCTGTCATGTAAAACCTTGATGCCTACCGCATATGCGCATCAGTTGACAAAGAATATGTTCTAATTAGATTGGCCATGGGATTAGTTGACTGGTTAGTAACCAGGGTTATAACCAGCTTATAACCCATTATGTAGCTGTTGTATTGCAGTTATCATCAGTTACCTAGCCCTGGCTGGCACCAAAAAAGCAGGACTGGCTGGTGCATGCAGCCACTATCCAGTGCTCTCATAGCTTCTGTTGCTCGGCCGGGTTCAACCGGGTTCAGGTCTCGTTGACTCCAATCATATCTGATGAATAAGCTCTTAGACGTGATATTTCATAATTTACAATGTGAGGCCCCCGTTCGATAGCTAAGTTGGTGAACATAACTCTAATAACTATGGTTTATGGTACGCAAATAACGAACTAGTTCCTGGGGCGAATCTAAACCAACAAACATCACTGGGAGGCCTCACATTGTAGGTTAATAAGCCCTTTATAAACCTGTGTATCCCATTATACTCTCAATATATCAATTTTTTGGGAGGTGTTGGTTGAATCGGCAATGTCCAGTTTCCATGTCTGGATGTTGGAAATCTCGCCGTTGGCGATGGACACCAATGTTTCTGATTTTCTTGGGGATGTGTTTTCGTATGATCTTTTGGAACATCATGGAAAAATATGGGAACATCTATATTGTAAATGTTGGTTTTAATAGGACAATCAACTATCATTTTTTGGATTTGCTGATGTTTTTTCTATTTTACCACCGGGAAATCCACTATTTGGATCTATTTGGGAATCTATAGCAGATATTTGTTGCTTTGTTGGGTTCCTGTAGCAACTCCAACATGTGGCTTACAGATATATCGATACAGAATCAAAGGCGGCAATGGAAACTCAAACATTTAGTTCGATGATGTTCGATGATTTTCCCAGCTATAAACCTTTATTTATAGTGGATGTTCTGCTGCCACCTTCGATGTCCGGATGGTACATGAATATATCTATACCCAAATGCTCCATGTATGGAATATTTACCTACATTTACCCCAAAAATTGCACAAATGTAGGTAAATATACCATACATAGAGCATATGGGATAGTTAATGGATGTGAACGGATGTCAACGGATGTTCATGTTACAGGTGGGACCCAGGTAGTGGGTTGTTAAAACCAACAAACACAACAAACAGGGGCACCGCCTTCTAGGGAATTGAAAAGGGGCTGCATAGGTTGGCATTTTTCGATGATGTCAGTGATGATAAAACATATTACCCTCTGGTAAACTAACATAGCTATTGAAAATTGCCATTTATAGTGAGTTTTCCCACTAAAAATGGTGATTTTCCATAGTTAGATTAAATTACCAGAGGGTAAACCAGTCCACCCAATATTATACCAATAAGTCTCCATATTCTGTTCGAGGTATGTTTGTCTTGTGTGATCCGTGATCATGATGATCATGTAGGGTTTGCGCATGCGGCTATCCACACACATTAAAGATGCTTGCCAAGTACATGATTCATAGGACTACCCAATTTGGTGATGTTGTTTTTCTGAATCTGTTCAAGGACCTTGTTTGATCATGTTTGATGGTCAAATTAAATCCTTTTCCACTCAAGATCATTTATGTAATCCTGGTTTGATGAGTTGAGTCACTGATCCACGATCCCACTTTATTGTGGCCAAAACGACACATCAGCATTTTCATGGTTAACTTGTACCGACTTTCTATGGTGAACTCACCTACCTGAAGTATGGGCTTGTGACATGTTGTAACATTCTAAAATGGACGTGAATGAAGATGTGGTACAGCCTGGTACAGCACCAAATAGCTATTTTAATAGGGCACATGTTATGAGAATTTGTTGCACTTGCATGTTTTTTCCCCTAAAACTTCAGACCAAAATAGACTGACTCTGAGCTGTAGGTTGGTCCTGCATCGACCGTTGGCTTCAGACCAAGCAGTTCATCTGCCCTGTCTGTCGCAAGGAGGTGCCAAGGATGCGGGGCGGTGTCATGAAACGATTGTTGAGGATGCGTCTTTTGTTTGTTTCCTCACAGTTTTGAGAGGGATATGTATATATATATAATTTATATATAATACCTACATTACATATATGATATATATATATATGTATACACTCGTATATCTATTCGGATGGGTTTTGATTTGTTTGCATTGAGATCTCTTCATGTTGATGGAGAGACATGTAATATATTAAGCAAACCAGCTCAGAGATGATGTTTGATGGAATGACAATACAAAGCGTACCAGATCATGTGATTGCGAAATTACAAGATGGTAATGTGGCAAAGCCCTCAAAGCCCGAGACACTTGGTAGGTACTTCTTCCAATGGTTAGGTAAGTTCGAACATACTGAATCAATCAGAAACACTATCATAGATGAACCCTGTAAGTTTGCGAATCTTTGTGAAGAATCTTAAATCCCAATTTTAACGTACTTCTAAACCAACTTAGCAAACCAATGATGGACTGCGGCATGACCTTGACTGTCGAGGGGCAGGCATTTTCAATGGCTTGGGAAAGCCGATTTCGCCCTGCTCATTGCAGGTAATTCAAGCGCAGATTTGTTTTTGTTACATCCAACATGGGAATTTATGCTCCACTGGGAATCCCCATCAAAGAAAGAAACCATGGCTTCGCAATTCGGTTGAGGCGGAGAGCTCCGGAGCTCCGCAATGCTTGGGATTTTTCCCGTGATCAGCACTTTCCCGATCATCACTTTCCGCAAAAAGCAGCACCTTCCTGATGTTTATCCAACTATGTAAAACCTCTCCTAATGTACTAATGTTTGGTTGATTTATGAGTGTTATCCAATTGTGTCAATTGCATACTAGAATAGCGATGATAATGATAATAATGATAATAAGACAATTAATAACTATGCATATATTTATTGCATACAGGTACATTATGTAGATATTTCATATGCATGTAACATATACTAAGTATACATCTACCATTATATATAACATATACTAAGTATGCATCTACCATTATATATACCATATACTAAGTATACATCTACATGTAAATCTCATGTGTTTTGTTTCCCAGGAACTTCTTCTTGCTCAACATGCCCAGTTTGCACAGCGTCCAGGTGACGCGCGAGCCCGTGCGCACCCGTGCGGTGGATCAAGTGGTGCAGAAGACCGTGTTGCAAACCTCGGAGGAGGAGAAGGCGAGTTATCAAAAGCTGCTGGATGTTACCCTCTGGTGATGTCAAAATAGCTATTGAAAATGGGGAGTTATATGGAGTTATCACAGTTATAGCATAGATTATTACAGTTATAGTCAAGTGTTAAGTTGATGAACTATGTTAATTTGTATCTGTTACCCTCTGGTAAACAGCCACATAAGTATGGAAAATGGCCCAGTCGAAATAGTGGATTTACCCAATAATAGCATGGTGGATCTTTCCATACTTGTGTGGCTGTTTACCAGAGGGGGTAATGGATAAACGTGGATATGACATGATATAACCATCCAGAAATATGTAAATCCATTAAGATATTAAGTATAGTTAAATGGGAATTATCACCATCCGTTAAGTATATTAATTTACGTATAATGAATCATAGTTATGCTGAAACATAAAAAATATGGGAATTGACTATAATTGATATGATATAACCAGCACAGTCGCAAGATAATCTCATTGTTTAAGGCGCTGGATAAACGTCCAATTAAAAACAGCACCCAAACAATTTTTCAAGGGGGTAGCCCATGAGCAACCCAGATCTCCAATTGTATGTTCGTTGTGGTGGTCTTCTATAGTGTCCTACTTGTTCTTGGGTGGATTTCTTCATAAGTCCCCTTATCCCTTTCTTTTCAATTGATTTCTTGAAGGTTTCAAAAGGGAAATCAATTGAACATAAATCTAAATCAATTGATGTGTTTTTCTGTTCACTTGATTTATTGAAGGTGTCAGAAGGGAAATCAATTGAACATAAATATTTGAAATCAATTGAAATCCGATCTTTTGAATTGATTTTTTGAAGGTTTCAATTTGTTTAAAGGACAATCAACTGAAAGTAAATTGAAATCAATTGAAATCTTTACTTAAGATCATGATCTAACATCATTCAGAACCCGGTCCCTCAAAAGTTACAAGCCTAAACAGACCCCTTCAAATGTTTGGGAGGGTAGGTCCTCCCTACACTAATCAAGACTCCACATTAGTGGAAGACTAGGAATGTCCAGATGTGGGGGGTCCAAACAGGCAAACAGAGAGGGTGTTGATCGTCAACACAAAATAAGCATGGACATTCTGTTCACCTGTGTTTTCGTGGCCGAACATCAGTGTCACTAAGTGTCCAGAACGCAATTCTGCGGTTGATCAGGTTGTAATCATGTGATATATAACATGACATAACATAACCCAGTTCTATCCATTTCTCACCAAGGTTTTCACGATGTTGCGCAAAAATTTGCCTGGCTGACCAAAGCTACCGTAGTTCTGGTATGTTCTGGCAGCGCCCTGGTGGCCAAGCTTGGGAATGATAGTTGATAGAACATATTAACATCTGGTTATGACTAACATAGCCATGGTATAGATGACCAATAGAAATAGATGGTTTACCGAACTTAAAACTGGTGGATCTTTCCATGGCGAACTGTTAAATAATCAGATGGTAACTGGATTCCTATCATAGAAGTATGATATAGAACTATGAAGATTTCGATATGCATAGAACATGCTTTCATTGACAGATGACATGGACATGATGGTAGACTGATTCAACATACTAGAACTCAGAATCGGATTGATGAATGATTGATATTTGTGTCATTTCTTTTTGGGTCTTGAATGATCTTTTGGTGTGTTACCGACGGTGCATGGTTGCGAGCTTAAAAATTGGCCCTGGAAGATGAGGAGTTCCGGAGGATTTTAACGGAGTATTTTCTTCCCATGTGGTACCAACGCCATATACAATCATATATATATGTCTATAGTTGTTTTTGTATTATCATTCTCTATATTTCATGGTTCCCGATATTTCATGGTACTTGTGTGTTTGAATCATGTCAGGGATCTTGCAGCTGTGGCCCTTTTCACAATTGTAACTAGCTCAAACAAACTCATGTAAGTGGTGTAATTATGTACATATACATATATACCACCTTAGTTGCAGGAGTCATTTCATCCCATTCAACGAAGCTAGTTTACAGTCATGGTTTAAAGAGTTATTTCATCACCTAGTTGCAGAGATTAAGTGATATGTGTCATCACATTCAGAACTGTTAAGTACATGTAGGTGATGATTTGTTAAATTATGTCTTACGTATATTTAAGTTGATCATACTAAAAAAAATGTTCATTGATTGTTAAGTTTAGTTGAGTAAAGTATAAACGTATTTATTGTTATAATTGTTAATTAATATTCACAAATTACAATTAAATTATGTTATTTGAACATTGATGAATATTAGTATCAACTTAAGGGGTTAATTGTTAATTATTAAGTTGATGAACTGTGTTAATTTATTATCTCCTATGTTAATTTGTTAACACTTACCACAGTTCTCTGTTAACATTGTTAATTTATAGGGGAGTTCTAACAGTTATAACATAGGGATAACAGTCAACTGTTAAGTTGATGAATGTTAATTTGTTTAACAAATTACCCTCTGGTAAACTAACATAGCTATGGAAAATCACCATTTTTCATGGGAAAATCCACTATAAATAGCCATTTTCAGTAGCTATGTTAAATTACCAGAGGGTATCTGTTAATGTTGATGAAACGTGTGAATTCCCCCTGTGGGTTTTTCTCTTTCCACGTTGAGTTCCAGAATGTTCCAGAACTCCGGCAGCACGCAGGCGGAGTTCGCGCAGCGTGTCAAGGCTGCGGAGGTGGACAGCCAAAAACCGCCGTAGTGTTGGACGAGAAGAGAAGGGTGATTGAAAAAAACGTCTTAGATTTATAGTGTATACGTGTTATATAATGTTTTATCTATATATTATATGATAGTTATATAATTGTGACGGTGCATGCCACATGACATAGCAACCTCCACATGGTCGGTTCAAAGAAATACGGAAAACAGCAAACGCTTTCCGGCAGGTTTTTGGGCTGCGATGTATTATATATGGACCATATATACCTGGAAAGCCATAATCCCATTGTTTTTGTCAAACAGCCTTGACTGTTTTTTTGCTACGGCTTTGATTGTCTGGAGCCACTTGTGTGAGAGTTGCTACGGCTCTTTACGGCCTTTTTTCAACAAAATGTCGAAAAAATACGGTGTTGGTACGGGTAGGACTGTCATGTTCTTTTGATTTGACAATGTTTTTGTCATTATGGGTAAACAAAATATTTTACAAAAAAACACATGATCATTACGGTTTTTTGCCACGATGACCAAAAACATATGTTTTTGGCTTTCCAAGTAGATAATTTGAGATACTAGAATAATCAACTGCGGCTGCTGCAAATGAATTATGTCCTTGTGATTACGGGCGTGTATATATATATAATTTTATTTAAATATGTATATATATATATATGCATATATTTGGTTACCTATCTCATATATTTCCATTTTTTTTGCAGAGTTAAATATACTGTATATACATAGAACAAGCGATGCGCTTTTTGCCAGGAGGAGGAAGTGAGAGATAAGAAGCACTTGGCAGAGTTGGAGCATCACATCAGTGAGGCAACTGACGCGTCGCGTGGTCCTCGAAGGAAGATGAGGTGAAGATGTGTCGGAAAAAACACCCATGGATATATCCATGGTATATCCATTGGAGTTAGTAGAAATCCATGGTATATCCATGGTATATCCATGGTAGATCCGATTCACTGTTGTTTTTTTTGGTGTGGCTTAACTTTGGGGTATATCATGGTATATCACTTTTGGTGTGTTTTTTTGGAATCTTAAGTTTATCAAAAACACATAGTATGAGCCTTTCCTGTGCGCAAAGTTGGTGACCTTCGGGGGTGACCTTCGGGGAGTACTCAATGGAATGCCATGAATTTGATGTTCAGACAATCCAATGATGTGGGTTTAGGGTTAAAAATCAAGCTGTGTTTCTGCCCTGAGAATTGAGAACTGGACATGATAAGCCCGGCACTAATTCGCTTTATCCAGATCATTCCGGATCCCTGTTGAGTAACATTTGAGTAACATGAGTAAAATCTCGAGTGAAGAACTAAAACCATGAAACACATGATATGTTTAAGTCCTAGCTTTGGGGGTTAATCATGGATCAAGTCCAGGGCCGGGATGAATTGGATACCATGACTTGAACCTTGAACCTTGAAGATCTTGAAGCGTTCGGAGAGCCATAATAGCCCTAAATCCAGTGGTTTATCATGGCTATCATTATTTAGGAAACACCTAATTTAGTGGTTTATCCAATGATACCCCTAAGATCTGGGAGATAAGAACCCAGGATACCCATTCTTTTCTCCAATTTATGAAGCACCGATTTTGTGGGTATAGATCGGTATACCTCATTTTGAGACAAGGCCCTGTGGTTCCAAATGGCGATGTGTGAGGCCCTCAAAGCCGGGAAGAAATTCTTTCACATCTCGCAGCTCTGGGGTAAGAAAGACAAGGCGCAAGTGCCGCAAGTGCCGTGGATTGACCGAATCCCATGGTTTCTTCCTGTTTGCTGACTTACTGGTGCGTTTTACGCAGGGAATTTTCGGGAATGATCCATTTCATCACTAGTTTCATAATCCCAGCAACCCCCAGCAACCCATCCAGCAACCCTACGTAAAACGCACCGTTGTGTTTTCTGATCTCCCTACTCAACTGGCAAATCTTGGTCTGGTTGGTGGTTTCAAACATGGCTTTTATTTTCCATGTCATATATGGGATGTCATCCTGCCCCTTGACGAACTCCATCATTTTTCAAGATGGGCACATTGCACCACCAGTGGTGAACGGGGTACGGTTCACAGGAGACGTTCAAAAAGGGCGTCGGCCAGTATGCTGGCAATGCGAGAGATCCTGGGCACCTGTTTCGGGAAGCTAACCATTTGCATCATCAAATACTAAACTGGTATTATGAAAGTCCAACCCTTTCTGGGTCCTTTCCAAGTTGGAACTGGGCCCTTAGTATGATGTCATCTGATGAATGAAACACAATGTTCAGTAATGGATGGTTAGTACAGTAATGGAAAGTACCATATTTGCCCTGCTAACTGCTATTAATGAGATTTAAGTGTATACTGCATACTAGTAAAAACCCAAATTCTGAAGGTGCGGTTGAATGGGCAACTCACCTTCATGAGGCTTTTGGGACTCAAACTAAAGCATCCCCACAAATACCTACCCATATCATCCATGTGATTGATATGTGCCTAAATCCCCAACTCAGCCATTTATATCCATGTATGATCATTTATGCTTTATGAATATGTAAACGAATCATCACCCTATTTGCTTATTGATCTATGTTCCTACTTTGGATAGATTGGGTTGCCATACACGTTGGTTTTTAGTTGATTGGGGCAAACATTAGTTTCCATCGTTTGATGTCCGTTGGTTCGGTAGGTACCCCATTTTCAGGCCCTTGGCCTTTGATTTTCAGCGGTATGATGTTTTGTGATGTATCCTTGCATTTACATGGAAACATGTTCACAAAACATCATACCGCTTCCTTAAGGTGTACAAAAGACAAGCCATGTTCACCTACCATTTCCTTTGACGTGTGCATATCCACTTTTGATTGCTAAAGTGCCCTGGACGATTTCATGCTTGTCAACTCCCTTGGTTTGTTAAATTCAATTGTTGGTTCATAAGCCATTTATTTCGCAAGGTATTGCACATCACTATGATGTACACTCCTTTCACCAACCATTAACCAATCGCAGTTCATCTGATTGGTGGTTTCAAACATTTCTTATTTTCCATAATATATGGGATGTCATCCTTCCCATTGACGAACTCATATTTTTCAAGCTGGTTATTGCACCACCAACCAGTAATCATCAGTGGTTTCAATCCCCACTTTTAGTTGATCAAAGTCTCATTAGTTGCAGCCGCTCTGTCATTAAGTCCAGGTCGTTGCGAAGTTCAACCAACTGAACCATGAAAAAGTTCTGGTTCATTGGTGAATTTCTTGGATTTTTTTCTACATACTACCTAATTTATTGGGATCATGATAACCCATAATTAGTAGGGAAACTACAAAAACCAACTAGAAAAACCAATTGGTATTTTGAATGGTTCAAATGTATTCAAATGTATTTTACCAATTGAGGTTGGCCAATTGCGCCAAGGAAACCTATTGCAAGTTGACTGGAATGACGGTCCAATGGGTTCTGAGCTGAGTTAAATGCCAGCTCTCGGAGAGGATCCAAAAAAAGGGTGTCGCATTAATGTTTCAACCTGGTTACAACATCCATTGGGTTTGTCTGAAAATGGAGTTTTGTTTCTCGGAAATGGCAATGTTCATGGTGAAAATGATGATAGGTTAATTTTATGGGGTACCATTGTTTAAGACAAATTTACGATATATCGGACATCAAAGCCACAGATAGCATTCCTTGAACTAACCGGTTTACTGATTTGTGGCTTTGTCTTGAGGCTCCATTTGAAACCATACCAGCATACACTGGGTGTTGAATGGATGTATTGTGGGCATAAAATGAGGAAACAATGGGATATCTTGTGAGGAGTCAAACATTGTTTTTGTTTTTAACATCCCGGGATGCTATTGATACAATATTTAACACACGCAAGTAAAATCATGCTCCAGTGTGTCACCCTTTGTCTGAAATGCATCAATCAATTATGTGGCAGCCTGCTGTCCGTGCACTTCAGTTGGTGTACCCTATTCTATCCCCAAATTGCATGCTTCGAAAAGTAAGATTATACCATTCAATAGTCATGGCGGGAAAATCTCAGATTTAGAGATACGCTTTTCTCACAAAATAGACTCAGATCTCCATTGATCTATGATTTTCCCATATTTACAGTGGATTTTCATGGATTTTCCATGATTTTCCCATCGGAATTCCGATGATTTTCGCAATGAGAGCACCTGCCCATGGGGAATCTTCACCACTTTGCGAGGTTCATAGTGCTGACTCCACGCAGCTCAATGTGGCCCTTCACAACGTGGGTCTGGGCACGTTGGTCGGGGCACTGAGCTGGGGCGAAATATGGCGAAATGGCAATGACATACAGGATGGGCCCCCAGTTATAAGTATCATACACTAATTATTATATTAGAGTTATTTGCACCAACGAATCTCGAAGGAACTGGGATTATATCCTCATCCTTTTTTGGGAGAAATAGGGATTATACCAAGCAAGATTTTGGGTGTTGTCGTAATGAGATGCAATGGAATGGCCTGGAGATGACTAGTCGGAATGGCCTGGAGAAAGTGGTGGAATTGTGGAATTGCTTTGGCTTATTTTCCCACTGGAACATGCACTAGAATCCTGGTGGTTTTCGATGAAGATTTCTGTGCTTTTTCTTGAGTTCCTGAAAGGCAAATCCAAGAAGTTCTGTCCAAATTTGCAGTGTAGTTCATTGAACGTGTAGGTCCATGTGTGTTCGATTCTTTTTGTTGGATACATCATTGGCTTAAATGTTGCTTTGGATATCAGATCCGGGTATCAAAGTTTCCCGTTGATTTGAGAACTGGTTATGCAATGCGTCTTTAAAGAAAGGGAAGCATTTGGAATTACGCCAATGCCCCAAGCATGAGATCTTGGGAGTGAAATGGTAGATCAAAAGCCTCTTTTTGTTCTACCTTTTTTTTCTGGCAAATGGCTGGTGAATGGATGGTTCTTCCAATGGCTGGTGGATAGGTAACTTGACCTATCCCCAAATGGAAAGCCATGAAACCGACTGATTTGTTGTGAAAGGTGGACCGACCAGAAGACGAAATTCGACAGAGGCGGGCTGGCAGACTGATGAACAAAGCGCGATGTGGCATGTTTTGAAGATATATTTCCTAGGAATCTGGGAATCTGTAGAATTTGTAATTCAGTGAATGATAGACAAAAATTTGGTTGGAAAGAAAATAGCTCACATGAACCCATAGTTGTTTCCTTTGGTCTAATAGCAATCATATGTGTATATATATATATATATATGAGAGTCCGTGTCTTTGTGGGAGTGCTCGTTTTGGTGGGTCTGTGTCAGATTCTTGTGTAAGAAGGCATTTGGGAGTCTAGTAAAACCTCTTAAAATATGATCTTAAATCATGGGACAACTGCACTCCCAGAAATTCTCCCGTTCGTCCGTCCGCTCAGCCCAATGTCCGGCTGTCCAATCAACTATTTCTGATATATATATATATAATTAGTAACACTTCTCCCAAAAAAGTCTACAGTAGAATCCTTTCCTTATTCGCACTTCCATATGGTTCACACTTTTTTTTTAAGGTTACTGGTACCCGGTGAAACAGGAATTCGATCCGCGGATGTTTGGGAAAAAACTCCCATTGCCGAAAATCCAAAGAGCTGGTCCTTGGGCGAAAGTCTTCCCATTTTTTTCATGGTTCTAAGTAGCATAACCCTGGGTATATCTATCCTTATGATCATATATGTCCTTATATTATATTTAAAACAACCTTATATCCTTATATCATATAATATGATGACCCATATGCGAACCATGGTGCTGGAATGTTTACCAACATTTGCCCGAACAAAATCACCCAGTTTTGTACGTAAATATACCATACATGGAGCATATGGGATTAATATAACTTTGGAATACTTTGGCTGACGCTTATCTTATTGGTATGATTCTAGCATGCTTTCCCTCAGAATTGGGCTGAGGGAACATGTGAAGGAAATCCCGAAAATTGATGACACAGACCGTGCATGATTCCCCACCATTTTGATGGCGATGTCCTTTTTACATAAACCGACCTGGCAGCGATGGTTCGGATTCACCGGGGATGATCGAAATCGAAGATTTTTCGCTGCTTGGTGGTGACTGGAACCATGGAATTTTTCATGACTTTCCCATCATATTGGGAACAACAAAATCCCAACTGACTTTTCTTCAGAGGGGTAGGTCAACCACCAACCAGTTGAGTCACCATTTGGGTTAAAGCTCCATCCATGCGCCATGCTGGCTGCAGGTTGCTCATGTTCTTGCGCTATGGATGAGCATTGTCCCGAGCTCAGGGTTGAAGCCTACGGGAGCCGAACTATATAGACCTCACAAAGACGTCACTGGAATGATGGGTAGGGTTGGCGAACTATCCCAAAACACTCGGAACTTTTGAGTTTGGTTTGTCATTACATCTTGTCCAGATACAAACATATGAATGAGATACTATACATAGTTTATTGATGTTTATTGGCTGATATTCCATTTGGTCAACCTCCACATATAGGTGTTTTTGGTTTTTCCATGGGTAAAACGTCGTTCCGCATGGAAGGGTCGTAGTTGACAATGTCGTTGGTCATTCATCATTCATAGGAGGTGGACCTGTATTGTTTAGTGAGTATTGAATAGAAAGCATGTCAAGGACATGTCAAGGAATTCCGATGTGGGGTGTATGCCCGTGGTCATCACAGCTAATGTTGATTGTTTATTTGTTTACGTATTCGTAAGATGTCGATCAAACTGAGATTGTATCTTAGTATTGGATGGGAGAGGTAACAAATGTATTTAAATATATTATGTATATTATACATAGTTGTGTGTACATATGTTTTTAATACCATGCACACTTTTTAAATCTTATGTACATATATATATACATAGTTATATATATATATACATACAATACTATACATATTATAGATAGTATATCACAAATGTACACATCTCACACACAAAGAATGTATACACATTAGAACTATGAAAAGACCTGTAGGCAACAAACGGTGCCAAGTTGCTACTTCCGATTGGACCACCTGCAATTTCGAAGTCTGGTATTTTGTTTTACTCGGAGCTTAGCAAAATAATCTTCACACACACAAGATCAGTGTCCATGTCAACATCTTGTGTTTTACTATGTTTTACTTGTTTGTGTTGCAGTGTTGTAGTGATTTATATTAATTGTGCACCACTTGTTCGCCAGCTGTTTGCACAAGAAAGAAGAAGGCAAACACCTGGCTTGGATCCAATGGATGTAGCACAGGCTGTATTTGTTTCCTAAGGTTTCTCTGGCTTCAAGCCATGGTTTCCCCACTCTAAGAGACCAGGGTTCATGGTTCTAAAACTAGTTTCCACATACGGAAAAGAAATCTGCATACTACTACCATGCAAAAATCGTATTCCACATACCTGCGTTGGAACGTATACTCCACAAGGCCAACGCATACCACCGCTTTTTCGTAGACCATAGTGACCCATGGGAGTTGAGGCGCACAGGCTCTGCACATAGCACGTTTCCACGTTTTCAAACCCTTTTGGCATGATGAGATTCTGGCTAGACTGGTGAGATAGAAAGCTGAACCAACAAACGGTGAAACATTGTTCCACAATAAATATTAATGTATTAATTACTATTATCGTTGCAATAAGCTCTCCGTGTAGGAGGTATGTAGTATTCGAGCGACTTTTCATTAAACAAAAATCATGCATTTTGATATCTAAAACGATATAGTGAACTCCCAAAAACGATAACATGGGAATTAGTTCATTTGTGAAAGCATGCTGGGATGTGAAGGGGTGGTATTCATGACATGATGGTTGATACCTGTTCTAGAAACATCTAGATCGTCTAGGCTCTCAGTTGTGGGGTATACGTCACGCCCAGCTCACACAACGGAAGATGTGTAAAAATATGCTGACACTCTTGATCCTGGCCAATTTCTTCGTTTCTGATTATTGCAAACGCTTTTGCATCCAATCACGTGCATGTGGCAACTAGCTAGGTTTGGATGCTCTTTTGGTCTTGCCATCGCTCAAGCTCTTCGGATGAACGTTTTGTATTTTCGTGCTTTCATGCAAGCAGCGACGATGAGAACAGGTCTCCTTTCCAACTTTTTTTGGTTCATACCATTTTCCGAAGAATATACCCCGCTTTGAACGAGAACGAAAACGATAACGAAACGATAAGCATTTCTTGACAAAATGTCCTTGGATGATGGATGGCCCAGATATGAAAAGATTCTTGGGATGATTCTTTGCCCTTCAATATCGTCACTTGCTTATTGCGATCTTTTCGCTGCTATGCATATTCTCTTGCAGCGCCCCATTGCTTTAGTCCATCTCCGTTCATCTCGGGCACACAGATCGTAAAACTGCACCTGAAGGTCTGGGACTGGTGGCAGCTGTTCACGGGGCCCGTGAGCATTCGGTATTTTCTGACGATCTCATTGACTTGGCCGGGTTGCACACGTGGGACGATTTCGTGGATAGCTGCCACCAGTCAGAGAGCTGCGGTTTGACGATCTTATGCTGAGGAAAGCCAAGGTATTGGACCATGTCGATGGTTTGACTTAGCTACGCAGACGCTGGCCAGTGAAAGGCCTGGACCATGTCGCTGTGAGAGCTCATCCGGACTTCTTCCAACAAGCTGAATTTAAAACTTGTTTCTGAGCTTGAGACAGGACGGTGAAACTGTGATTTGCAGTTGCATTGGAAGGTATCATACCATACCATACAGTTGGAGCGCTGCAAAAGAAAGCACAAGGCAGCCAAAGACGCTGCAGATGCTGAAGTGGAGGTGTAAAAAATATTCCTCCATCAATTTTGCAAGGGGAACCAGGATTTACTGTAAAACGATATAGTGAACTTCCAAAAACAATAACTTTGACCAAAAATCGCATTTTTCAATTGAGGTTTTGCCGATCGCTCTATATATATTTATTATATGTATATTTTTTTAAATTTATACATATGCAAGGATATATATATATATATATATCCACAAAGATGTTTTAATATCAGCTAACAACACTTGTAACGCCTGGTTGATGGTTTTGACGGTGCATGAGGCGTCAGCGCTGACGCTTTCCGCGCGCGTTTCCGCGTTGGCGAAATCTGCGCTGCAAATTCGAGTCTTTGGACATGGGCCAATACCCAGTTTCTGTACCCATATCCTGATCACCCAAGATGGGTCACAGTTGCAGCGTGTCATATGGCCAACCCCATGGCCATATATGTGCGTCGCAGTTTTTGATGTCCCTACGGCTAAGTATAGCAATTACCATCTAGCGGTGTACATTGAACCCACTTAAGGATGAGTCTCGCACAGTTTCACCTTGGGTACAGAGTGGAAATGACCCATGGCCGTTTAGCTTCTCGCCAGAGTGTGGTGCTGTGGTTAAGCAATTGAGTGAGTTGCGTGACTGATGCCGATGCCAATCCATTTCAAATCTGCCATTCAGAAACCCAAAAACAAAAAGGGATTTGTATAAAGTATATGAACATGGGGTACTTCCAAATTTGATGGGTGTTATCGCGGTTTATCATAATTTCCCGATGATTTCCCCATTCAAACGGCGCCATTTTGCCGTACTTGTACCGCTGGCACCACACCGGGTGAGATGATCATGGCCAGTTGCGCAGAGGCAAAAAGTGGTGAGTCCCAGGGCGTCCCGAAGCAAATTTCAAAAGTGTTGAACATCTGATTTTATGATTTTTTTTAATTTTAAAGATGAACACCTGTAAAAGTGGTTAAAATAATAATATTTCATTATGATAAATACATTGTTTTTTTGGGCACAAACCTCAGGGACTGGTGTATTAGAATGTATTAGATCGACACAAATTTATGGTTTTAGTACCTTCCTAGTGGGTATAAGGAGTCGGATTGAAAGAGATTGGGGGGCAATGTGAGGCGCATGTCTTCCCGCATACCATTATCTCTGGCGGAAGTTTGTGCTGGACCTTTGTCATACGGAAACAAACACGACAGCTAGATGGGAGATGGGTGCTGCATGTAATCCCTAGAAACCCAATCCCTGACAGCAAGATTCGGGAATTCCAATGACATCTTTACCATGGTATTGGTGTTGAAATACCATGCAAGAAAGGATATATTTGATCATATGATATCATATATGTATATAATTGTATGTACGTGTATATAGATGGATGGATGGATGGATGGATGGATGGATAGATAAATAGATAGATAGATAGATACATAGAAATATAGATAAATAGGTAGATAGATAGGTAGATAGATAAATAGATAGATGGATAGATAGATCGATCGATAAATAGATAGATAGATAGATAGATAGAAAATATTAGTCAGTCAGCCAGTGAGTCAGTCAGTCAGTTAGTCAGTTAGTTTGTTAGTTAGTTCGTTAGTTTGTTATTTATTTATTTTTATTCAGTTAGTTAGTTAGACAGATTAGATAGGCTAGATAGAATAAATAGATTAGATAGATTCAATAGATAGGATAGATAGATAAATAGATAGATAGATGGATAGATAGATAGATAAGATAACATAAGATAAGATAAGATAATATATTATAATATAAGATAACATAAGATAGGACAGATAGATAGACAATACGTAGATAGGTAGGTAGCTAGATAAATAAATTGATAGATAAATAAATATATATATAAATCCCCAGGAATTGCTTTGAAAAGTTTGCTTTTTCCTGCACAGGCAACTCTTGTGGATTCCAGCTATTTCAGGAGGTTTGCCGTGGCGTAAGAATACTATGCCATACTTCTGCCTCCAGCCCGGTTCAATCAGTGGGTTAGCAAGCAGTTTGGAGGACACCACTGGTCATTCTCGGATTTTGCCCCTGAACTGTTTTACATGGAACAAAAAAGTATTGTAAGTCTTGAAACATCATCCAACAAAAAGGAAACTTGAGAACACAAATGTAACTTCCCATAGGAAATTTATCTTCCAAAGCCAGACAATTGTCACCGTGCTCTGATGCTATGGCCTTTGGTCGTCCTAGCTGCAGCCGTTTGTGCAGCTGCGGATATCGAAGTACTGTTTTTCCAAAATACTTTGCAACGTGCTGACTGGAAGGAAGCTAGGCGTTTTTTTTTCTGTTTGTTTTTTGAGTGTTACTCGAATGCGGCTATGTGTTTTCCATGTTCCATTGCCATATATATATATATATAGTCATTGTTGTAGTCTCATTTGGGTATGGGTCAAAAATCTTGGTGCGGTGGTGAACCTAAAAATAACTGGTAAACGGACATTCATCTCCCTAGATCTAGTAATAAATATAGTATGATTCCTTCCACTCGACCTGTTCAGGACCTCACCGTAGATATCGTTAGATGCTGTAAGTCAAGCACTTATCAACAAGAAACATGTGTATGTCCAGCTTGTGACGATGGAGAGTTGAAGTGATATGTGGAGAGCACATGATAGTACACATCCACTCTATATACTCGAGGATGCAGAATTTTTTTCTGAAAGCCTTCTGTTTCCTGGAACTCCCCTCGACTGGTCGAACGTGTAATTTCAGAAGGAGAGATGAACACGGACGTTTCAATCGCTGCCCGTGCTCTACCCAATTTAAATCTACACAACGCTGCATATGTGTATACATTTACGTATAGTTATATAATTTAGATGTGTGAGTGTAACACTGAATATATAGATATAATGTACCATATGACATGTCTTATGGATGTATATATATATATACATACACACATATTTATGGTATGTGGATGTATATGGTCTGCTCTCTTCCTGGAGATGTTCACATTCAGGGCACTGTTTTCAGTGATCCAGTGAGCCACGGTTGTGCCAAGGAAGGCTTTGGAGATTTCTTTGTTTCTTTTCTGAATCAAAATGGTTCAGTGGCAGACAAAGTCCACCGGCTGAATGTGACCTATTGCGCCCTGGCTGTGTGGCTGATGTGGAAATTGTGGCCTTTCTTTCTATATATATATCAATACATGCATATATACATATTGTTTACTACTAGTTCAGTGTGTTTTTCCTCTTCCGATTCTTCTCTGTCTTGGAGGATCCGTGTGTTTAAATATCCTGTATCAAGCCACATTAGTTTGAGGAAGTACAGCAGAACCCCCCTATGATACCAAGATATACACCCAAGATATGCGTTTGTTTGAGAATATAGTATCCCTATTCCTATTTTAAATCCATTGGTTAATCATCGTTTATCCAGTGGGAGGTGCCCCATTTCCAGACAAATTAGAATATTCAGATTTCGTTTCCATCCTGTGCTTGATCCATGAGTATCCATGTCTATCCCGTTATGTCCTGGGATGATTGACAAATTGACAGATATCTACAGCGTTTAAACTAACATAGCTATTCAATACTATTGAAAATGGCCCATTTATAGTGTATTTACCTATTCAAAATGTGTGATGTTCCATAGTTCCGTTAGTTCGAGGGTACCAACTGCAGGATTTCTCAGATCGCCACTGATGTTTGCTCCCGAGGTCAGGACAGCTTCCGTCAGTGCCTCGACGCGCATGACTTCGACGTCGTGGTGGTCGGCAGCGAAAGCAGCGAGCAGATCAAGCTGCTGGCGGAGGAGAAGGAGATCCCCAATTTGCACTGTTCAGGTGCCCAGCAGATATTGTAAGTGTATAATATTTATATATATATGATAAAACACATGATATATATAATATTTAAGATATATCATATAAAAAACTTTATACAAGATATAATATATAATATATCATATATTTAAAAAAAAATAATATATAATATAAAACATATAATATATAATATATAATAGACTGTATACAATATATATATAATATAATATAATATAATATAATATAATATAATATAATATAATATATATATATATATTAGACTGTATATATTATATATTATATTTAATATAATATTTAATATTTAAAGTTTAATTAATAATATATAATTTTATAGACTGTATACAATATATATTTTTTATATATGATATTTAATATATAGTATATAATATATGTATAAATTTAATATATAACCCGAGAAAACCGAAAGCCCAAAAAAATCCCAAGCATAGAGTATGTGTATATATATATATATATATACAAACATGTTTAGGCGGGAGAAGCAGATAAGTGATGATAAGGTTCAATTGGTGCCCAAGTTAAAACCTAGCATTTTTTCCAGTACTCTAAAATAACAGCCAGTGTTTTTCCAGCGGCTTCGCAGGGAAACCTCCTATTTTGTTTTGTCTCCGGCAGAAAAGCCTCGCAATTTTCGAGAGAACCGTCTCCTAACGAGTTGGCATGTCAGTAGGGGTGTAGGCAGGTTGCAGATCGAACTATGGGGCACCAGCCCTTTTCGCAACTTTTTGGGGTGTCCCATCGAAGCATAATTTTCTTGGAGGTACCTCAATGGACTACCATAAGGCCTACTATAATGGTCTGGCCATTTATGGGTATCGGATACCAGTAGTTGTTGTTCGCTGCACCTTAAAAACGCAAAAGTTTGGGTCACCAGATTTTCCCACTTTGTGGGGTGAAACCTGATAAACCCAGACTTTCATTTTTTTTCCACATTGGATACTTTATAATAATGCAAAGTGCTAGCACGAACAAGTGAAGTTTACCCTCCGGTAAACTAACATAACTATGGAAAATCACCATGTCTAGTGGGAAAAATCATCTATAAGTGGTTATTTTCCATATCTATGTTAGTTTACCAGAGGGCAAGTTCCTTCCCCCCCTTGGATCTTGAAGGAACTTGGGGAGGTAGTGCTGCCAGGTGCCAATCCACTGACTTGGACGTCGCAGACCCCCTACGCCTTTGGTTTGCAGCTGCCAAGTACGCTCTACACACAGCAAGTCATTCGTCAGGCGCCGGGGCGGCAAGGAGAGGTGGATTTGTTGCTGGTCATAAAAGTCATATAAAGTGATGAAAATTGTTGCTGGTGGGTGGTTTGGAACATGTTTTATTTTTCCATATATTGGGGATAATCATCCCAACTGACTACTGTAATATTTTTCAGAGGGGTTGAAAACACCAACCAGGTTTGCTATTGGTGATCCGCAGATTTGTTGCTGAGTGTTGGCTACAAACGATTTCCCCTGACATATACCTAGTCCAAAGTATATCCACAATATCTCCCCAATATCACCATATTATATCCCACATATTACTATTATCCCATGAGTTCCACTGGATGCGGATCGGATTTTTGCCCGTTTTTGAAGAACCTTCGGTGGTTGGTTCCACAGGGGAACCGCCAAGTTTGTTATGGCGATGAAGTCCATGAACTTTGTGGTTGCAAACCAACCAACATAGCGTTGGCATTCACTTGATGTACCCCATAGCGGGTAAACCATGGTAAACCGCAAGGTGAATGGTCAGTATAAGTTGATGATCGCGGATTCTGAGGCTAGCCATGTCCTGCTGTGATTTTTTAGAGTTTCACTCCAAATAATTCCTCCTAACTTTGGTAGATGTGTGTTGGATACACAACCTGTGGATACCTACGGTTACTTCACCGTTCGCAAAGTGGAAATTCACCATAGAAATCATAGCCTGGTTGGTGGTTTGGAACATTTTTTCCATTCAGTTGGGAAGAATAATCCCAACTGACGAGCTCATTTTTTTCAGAGGGGTAGGTATACCACCAACCAGTAGCTAAACATGGCTAAACCATCTATGGGGATGGGGCATAGCCGCTATTCGGATCAGAAATCGATGGTGAGATTTTGTTCCAGGAAATCATCAGATTCTGATCGCTGGATCTAGACTTGTTTGATTATATATATATATATAGTATCTATTCATATTAGTATGATATATAATATTATATATATATATATTTAAATATATTGTTATATTATACATTTAAATATATACGTAAAGACCCAGTTGGCAGAGATAGAGAAAAAAACATCGTTTGCTATAACGAAAGTGTCCCTACAACATGAGCCCTTCCGCACTTCAGCGTCACCTTCAATGGCCAGGCGGCCGCTCGGCACCTGACTACAGCGGTGATGATCCGCGATGGCGATTCGGAGTTTCAGCGGCTGTCAGCGGTCAGTGCCTCTGACACTCGGCTGTTTTTTTTTTTTCGGGGGGGGAGGGGGTATAGGTAGATGGAAGAAAATATTACAGGAAGATACAGGCAAAGATAGGTTAATCATGGATAATGTATATCAAAGAATCATAGTACTGGTCCATTATAGTGATTCCATGGGGAACCTTCAACAATGGTAGGGATCATGTATTTGCATGTTTGATTATGCTTCACATTTCTTCTAAACATTCTAAACTTTAAACATACCAAATAAACTTATTATATGTATATGTTGACATCATACTATGTTACTATATGATTATAGCTATGTGTCCCCAGAACTGATTCTCATTACTACTGATTAACACATACATCCCCGGTTCTCGAACAAAGTCCTGTCTCCCAGACGTCTGACCCTCAAACCGTCAGCTTTCGTCCGCCAGAATGTGGGGCCCCGTGTAGCAACACGCAGAAAGTTGGTGATAATAGCACCAAAAACTATGGTTTATGATATGCAAATTTATAGTTCATAAGGTTTATACCCCAGCACACATCACACTAACACTACTATACCATACTATACACCCTTTTACCAACAAAGATATCACCCTTTTCCAACTCACCGGGCAGATTCGGCCAGGAATGGATCCGCGAGAGCGGCTTGAAACTCATCGGCCCCAGCGTCTCCTGGCGCACTCAATGGATGGCCCTGACCCGCTGTGCGCTGGTCACGGTCGGTGGGGTCACACGCTGTCGCTGTGGTGCTCCGGAGGAAGCTGAGGCTTGGCGAAAACGTTGTTTAAATTCGTTGTTGAAGATGAAACATCCCAACTGTCATGGGATATATATATATATATATGTATATATATATACTAGTATATATTTATATATTTATAATATTGGATAGTGTTTTTTTGCAGTACAAATGGGTGATCATTGTTTTGTTCAATCATTTTATATCATTTAGCCTAAGGGGGATTGGCCATGGTGTCGATGATCCCCCGACGACTCCAATCCAAGTGGTGAGGGATAGCCGCGGATCGCCGGGAAAACACCCAAATTGGGACGATATTTAGGTCTGGTTGGTAGTTTGGAACCTGAATTTTATTTCCATTCAGATCATTCAGTTGGGAATGGAAAAAATCATCCCAACTGACTTTCACTCCATCATTTTTCAGAGGGGTAGGTTGAAACCACCAACCAGAGGTTTTTGAAGACCATTTTTTTGTTTTTTTTAAAGACCACCACGAAACAATGGATGGCGCAATCAGACTCAGTTTGGATCCAAGTGGATGTGACGAGGAATTTAGGTAGCAGTGACTCAGCTGCAACCAATTGATATCTTAGACAGTAGTTCCAGATGAGGTCATACTGGTTAAAGAAAGAAAACGCTGGAATGATCTCTGTTTGCTCAATGGCTCAAGTCCCTAAGTAGTTGACATTCCGAACTATTCCTTAGAGATATAATATATCATATGGTTTTCATCCCTTTTTCTTTTTGACAAGTATAATTCTTCATCATCAAGAAACTTTATTTTCGACAGCGCTCATCCATCTTTGGGTTTTGTCACCATCGAGGTGAGATGTGCCCGGACTTTACCTACCAACCCAATGTTTTTCACAGCTAGGTGGTGGGTCGGTGAATAAAACGGGTTGCTCCTTGACCTGCTCAAAAACTAGTTAAAACCGCAACTGACCAGCAATTTGCGTCTCTTCATTCCTGCATGGAGGTTTCCTATAAGTCATGGTACCCCACAATCATCCAAGTCATGGATGACCATGACTAGTATCGAAACAAACATTGTGTCTAGGAGATCCCTCGTTTGAAGAAACCTCCATATTATCCCATATGCTTATCCGTATATATGTTGACCTATGAGGAATGCGGGACAGAGATCCTAACAGCCATGTTTGAGACTAGTTCCGAGCATGGACACCTCAGAAAATGAGCCAAAAAAAACGCTGCTGCAGTTGTTTCAAAATTCAATTTGGTGCTATTGAATATGGCCATTCATTACTTGATTTACTGTAATTTTCCCTTTAAAAATGCTGACTTTCCATTGCTATGTTAGTTTCATCCACAGGCTATGTTTCCCCATTGTTTCACGGATACGCTGTGGTTCCGGATGTGGTTCGGTGGTTTTTTGCGCCATGGAGATCCATGGAGCGCTGAGGAATCCTTGGGCTATAAGTACGACTCTGAGTCTCCGGGTTTTTACGAAGTTGCTGAAACAACAAGCCACGGCGACCCTGGATTGGTGGCTTTCGTGGAGGGAGTCATAGAGGTGCGTTTCGAGTTCGACCATCCGGTTGTGAATTCGACCATGATTTGAAGATATATTAGGAGCAACAAGCTCACCATATCTCACCATGTCCAGTTGTGAACTCTCCGGTGCCAGAGAAATTTGATGATCAGATGAAACCCTGCCTTGAGATTTTCTTCTCAATCCATCATACGCGTTATACGTTGCCCATGACGCGGGTTTCCAGGGAGCAAGTGGTTACATCCTCGCGCAAAGTCATGACAAGTTCTTTCTCATCCAAGTTGCAAATAGAAAAACGACGGAAAGCACACAGAGAATTTGCAAATTGTGGAGGCTATTTGTGTTTCATTTTCCTGACAGCGCGCAAAGATGCGCAAAGGCTTCGCAATCCTTGGACAACCAGCTGACAATTTTGATGTGTTGTCAATCCAGATGATAGGTTTGTGGAATTTCTAAGAGTGATCATGATCCTACCTGAACTTAGCAACTGCTTTGGAAGAGGATCCATCGAAATCCACTGGTTCATCATCTTCCCCCATTTCAAAAGGCCATTGTTCTTGGTGGCACACCAAAAGCTTCACCCACATTTGTTCAAAAAACGCCTCAGAAGTACCGAACTTCACTGTGCGAAGTTCGCAGGATGTGAGGGCTCAAGGTGAGGACCCTCAACTAGCAACTTGGACTTAGTCCACTGGACGGAAGCTTGCTACGACACCAATATGAATACATAAAATGTCATAAAATGACCTCTTTGTCGGTTGCCCTTGGAAGCAATTCCAGGCTACCAGGCTACAACTACTCAGTTCTTGGGGTCGATTTCTGGGAATGACAGGGCGAAGCTGCGAGCTGCGTGTTGTGAATGATCCCCTCTTCCAATCCCGCGGAGTACAGCACCGCTTGTATGGCAGGGGATATTTTGGATAGGTGTATGATTTGAGAAGCTTTCCATCTTGGATACCCCTTTGGCGGACTTACATTCGGTCTTTATAGTTATAGTCGTCCTGAAGTAGATAGAATATGAATGAATATGATATATATAGAATATGGATTTTTTAAATACCGTCATTTTCGTGAGGATTTCTTCGAATTTTCCCATCCAGGATTTTCCCATGTTTTTTGTAAAGACCTTCGCAGGTATTGAACCTCCTGAGCAGCGCAGAGAGCGGTTTGCTGGCTATGAAATCGAAAAGCTTCAAGTATCAAATGTACTACGGCCAGCCGCTGGGCTTCGGTGCCGTCGGCGCCGCCTCTTTTTTTCTTGGAAAATGGGAGACCTGGTACCCTCTCGTAAACTAACATAGCGAACTGGAAAATGTAGCCACATTAGAGATTATGCAGATGTTTATATAATTATTTTCCCATGAAACATGGTGATCTTCTGTAGTATTGTAGTTATGTTTGTCCATTTGTTCACAGAAAGACTCATATGATCATGATGAAGCCCTAGTTTTGGACGCTGGAAGGGTGGGACAGCTAAAGATGGCAGTGCCTTTCAGTCTTGAGATTTTTTTCCAAGAAGCTGCATGTCTCAAGATCGGTGTCATAAAACATACATAGACAAATACTATGGAAATCCATCGAAAAGGAGGATTTTTCCAGCCACGTTTGATTACCCGGAGGTCAGCAAAAGCAAAAAGGGGCTTAGATCCGAGGGGGTTGCTCATGATAGATTTACATGTTTGAAGATTTTTGTTTGGTAGTTGAATTATATATATATATTAATATATAAAAAAGGTTGTTGGCAACTCAAAATGCCTCAAAAAGTCATGTAGAGACAAGTAGAGAAGAATAGAGAAAAATAGAGAAAATCAAGAAAGAAATTAACCGTTTTTAAATCATGTTTTCGCCTATTAACACCAGAAAGGACCAGATGCAAGCTAGGGAGAAACACAGTGATCCAGTGCTGTTGGCTGTTATCAGGTGTCAAGCTCTATCAAATCTTGTTCAGTGCAAGTGCTGTCAAATGCTGTCCATTTGTTTCAAAGTTTTTCACATGTTTTCAAACATTGTCACATGTGGAAACACCATGCGCTGTCTCCTTCCCAGGATGACACTGGATACAATGTTCTTGCAAGACCAGAGCATTTGAGTAATTGGAGCCAAATGCTGGCCAAAAAATACATGTGTCTACCCAAGTGCCAAGAGAAATAGAGAAACATAAAGCAAAAAAGAGCAGAATTAGCGACTCACCATCAGGTTCCCAGAGAAAAATAGAGAAACATAGAGCAACATAGAACATGATGTTTTAATTGATTTTTTAATGGGCAGGGAAAAAGTATAGAGAAAAATAAAGATAAACATAGAGAAAAACATAATTTGAAAACAAGGAAATTTTCACTCAACAGCTCACAGCGGACGCCAGTGGACGGCAGAATTTTCACCCCATTACCGCATCCAACCCGATCAGCCACCCACATGGGAGTGGACGGAGGAAGACATGGTGCTGGTGTGCTGGTTGAAGATGATCAAGCCAGCCCAAAATGCGGTGGAATCCAACATGCAACATGAACACATAATAGTCAGCACTTGACACACTGGATTTGACCTACCTCAAAAACAAAGCAACCATCACTTAACGCCACAACTCATATGTACTCGAATGGTTGTATGGGATCCACTTCATGCCCAATGGGCCAGATTTTGATTTGAAAATCCTAAGTTTTTTTGATTTTCTCTATTTTTCCCTATTCTTCTCTTTTTGTCTTGTAGAGACTTTTGAGACATTTAGAGTTTTACCGACCCAGTTAAGAAAAAAAACTATCTTGGATAAATCCCTACATTCTGAGTTCCCTTTCGCGAGTGCTGAGGAGGGAAATTGATTTCGAGCCAACGTAAAAATACTCAAATCAGAATCAGAATGTCAAATTCAAACCTTGGATTTGCATTAATTCAGAATAAGTTGTGAATTATATGTTGAGCCAATTCCACCATTTTTCTGGAAAATTCAGCCAAACTTGGATTTGCCTCAAACTAATTGGTTTGCGAGTTCAGTATTTGGTTGCTCGAGTTTGTTGGTAGCAGAAGGGTGCATATTCATGCTATCATCAGCAACAAGAGCTGGTCCCTCAAAGAGCATTGATATGTGTAATGAGTATAGTTTATAAACTGTTCTTTATATAGGAAATGTGATCTCATCATATCCCATAGGATCCATGTATGGTATATATGCTAACATTTGGATACATTTGGGGTATATTGATGGTAAATGTTACCATATATAGCATACATGGATCCTATGGGTATAGGAAATGTGATGTCATCATATGTCATCACTACTGTAGTCGGGACTTTGTAAGGGGATTTGTGATGTCGCCCTATATCTCCATGAACCCCAACCCTCCCACAAGTTTTGAGTCGGGGCAGGACACTGGGCCATGGAGCGTAGCATGGCCACTGCAAGGCCATTTTTTTGGATGTTTTTTTTATCAACCATTTTTTTGGGAAAACATGATAAACCAACTGAAATTTGAGGCCCAAGTTTTGGACATAAACAGTTTGTCTAGAGTTGTTGTGGAGTTGTTGGGGTGTATGCCCCTTACTACCCAGTTATCACTTATACAACCGAACAAATTTGAGCAGCCTGTATCTAGCCATATGACGGAGGAATGCAATAGGAGAGTTGAATGCCGCAAAAATGGTGTTTATATATGAGTTCGAAAAAAAAAATGATAGTCTATGTACTGTAAGAACCGACAAACAAGATCGAATTTCATCCTTCTGACCTACGCAAAAAGGTAAACACAGGGCTGGAAGCAAGACCGGATGTAACCAGCAAGAATTGGGATGGCTGGTTATACTAAGTGGGAGAGTGGTTGGAAAGCAGTGATAAAATTGTGTAAACGGACCTCAGGACTCGCGGAATGCTTGGGTCGCACCAGTTCTAAAGAGATGAAATAGTGCAGAGCTGGGGTAGAGGCTACAAGCACAATTTTCCGCCAAATCCCACGATCTTTGGTGATTTCGTGTTGACACATAGCATATATCCCTACATAATAAGCGGATTTTATTGACGTTTGTAGGATACCTGATGGGTTCATAGTTTTGGGTAACCCTCGGCCCTTGGGATCCAATCCTATTGGCTTAGGATATGATTTTGATATCCTGGTCCCCAAGTGAATAACTATACAATATAGATCAATCTAGCATCATTGGATTGCACAAACAAAAAACATGTTTCTAGAACATTCTCACCGAAGCCGGAAACCATTTTTTCATGGTTTTTCCATGCTTGTCCCATTGAATACAGAGGTTTCCTGTAAAGAATGCTGGTCTGAGGTCAGTCTTGGCTGATGGGAGCAATCTCACGCCTCTTGGCCACCCAAAACTTGGAGTCAGTGAATTCCAACCAGTGGATTCAATGATAAATTGATCGAAGATACTCAAGCATAGTTATACGTGTGTATATATATATATTTATAATGTATGTATATATATATATATATTATATATTAGTTATAGAATATATTTTCTGGTTGGTGGTTCAAAGTTTGTTATATTTTGTTGAAATGGCATTATCATCCCCCTTTTTCAGGCTGGCGAAACCACCAACTATGACTATGGATTCATTCTGGTTAGATCCTATGAGGGCATTCACTCATTGCAACTATAACACAGTGTCATCGAGTATTTGCACTGCAAGTGTAACCCACCGTTCTTAATCAATTACCAGTAGCATCTATATTGTTGTTGGCTCAACGGAGAATTGCCAAAACCCATAGACATAAGTGTCTGTCGGAGAAAAAGGATATACCACCAAAACACAATTTCAATAGAAAACGTAATGAATGATAAACCATTAAATGTTGTTGTTTTCCATTGTTTACACCTAAAGTTTCATTGTTCTCCAGTGGGGCCGAATGTGTTCTTCTCGACCGGACGATCTCAGGTTCAACGATGCCATATACAACTTTGGCTCGGGGCAATGGCATGAAGCGCTTCGCTTCGCTGACCCCATCTTTGGTTCAACGGAGGCCATGGTCACCAGCGACTCAGCCATGTTTGACCGGTGGGTTAACATAGGGGGTTATACCCATAGGATCCATGTATGGTATATATATATATGCTAACATTTGGGGTATATTGATGGTAAATGTTACCATATATAGCATACATGGATCCTATGGGTACTAACTGATGTATTGGGGATTATGATCACCCAAGATGTTTGAACAAACCAGTATGAGATTATGTTATTCTCTGGTAACGAAACCTGGCTATATGACAGGACATGCCCCTGTTCCCAAATCATCACTAAACGGACGTTGATCCGGAAGTTCCTATTGCATCCCTGTTGCTATATTTCAGTACTGAAGGTAGCTTGACATAACTCTGTAATGATGCAAGAAGGTATATACTTGCCTGCAATCTTGTTACAAATCTTCCGTACTCATATCTCTTTTGAGAGTAGATGTGACAGTCAACCCCAACTGCATAGTTTTTATCCTGGCATGTAGGTTTTCTGCGAACACATGAACAAAATGCAGATGAACTTTGATGTGGTACTTCACTAGATGATTATGATATTGTATGATATTTCACAATTCTATATATAATATGTCTAGACTTATGGGGGTATCCATAAATTATACCAATTCTATCTTATTCTATCTTATTCTAATGTCATCTAATGTCTAGACATAGGTCTATACCTTTAGTAGGTATTAATATGTATTAATATGAATCATATTTCAAATTTCTGTAAATGTCTAGACTATGTTTCGGGGGGTGACCACACTGCCTTCGAACATGGCTTGGTTTCCGGGTTTCCTCACCCTGCCATGGCAACCCATAGGATCGATGGTGCTGCTATATATGGTGTGCCATGGATCCCATCAATATACCCCAGTCATGTTAGCATATATACCAGCACCATGGATCCTATGGGTATTGTTATATGTTAAATGTTTACTTAGCGAAACAGGGGCAGGTGAAATCGTTATGCTCTCCTGGACAGCCGCATTCCTGAGAAGGATATCGTTATGGATTTGTTTCATCTCTGTTAAACCTAGCGATTTTGGTTTTATGTTGCTTTCTTGAATCCTTGTGTATCTTGTCTTGTTAGTTTGTCTCCACCTTTTGTTGGCTAAACGACACGTGTGTTGCTTAGATCCCCAAGAGTTGCTTACTCGTCAACGAACATAGTAGATATGACAAAGCCACTGAGAGACCCGAAAAAATCATGATCCATAAATTAGAGAATTTACCATGTCCATGTGATTCTTTATTGGCTATAAATTCTATCAAACCTTTGCCACGAGTCGCCCTTGCTTCAAGGATATTTGGCGCAATTTGGCCATGTGCCCAGCGATGATTCTGCTGCCTGCATCGCAGCAGGCGAGAAGGTCGATGCGGTCCATGTGAACTATCCTAAACCTAGGATTTGAAGATGTTTACCCTCTGATAAACATACAGAAAACTGTGGAAAGATCCACCGTTTTGAATGGGAAAACTCGCTATTTCAATGGCCATGTTCAATAGCTAACTGTGTATGTTTACCAGAGGGTAAATTTTTAGTTTCTATTATATAATTGTAAGGTATACCCCCAAAAAATAAGATGCTTAGATCCTTAGTTTCTACATATATGTTCTATGCATTGTAAGGTATACCGTATATACCCAAAAAAAATCTCCAATTATGGGCCTTATATTTCCCAGCCAAAGGTTCGATTTTGGTCCCATGGATCCAGATGAAGGGCTGCTTCTCCCAGTTGCTGTCATTGCTGTGACCTCCACAAACGGTTTAGATATGTCTACCTTAAACCCTGGTCACTATGCACTGGAGTTATATATACATTTTGGAGATATATGTTAGATACATTTATTAATCAATATCAAAAACTATAAGTTGTAAGTTAGATATAAGTTAGATACTACCTAACTTGGGCTGACTGCGGGTGGTCCCAGCGCGATAACACGGCGCCTCCGTCCTGCAAGCGATAAAACAGATCCTGATCGGCATATGGCACAGTGATGTGAACATTGGTTTAGATTCACTTCACCTTCTGAGAAAATACTTGATAATATACTAAATATGCCCCATAGGATCCATGGTGCTGGTATATATGCTAACATAACTGGGGTATATTGATGGTAAATGTTACCATATATAGCATAATGCCAACACCGGATTAATAACCCCCCCCCAGAAGGTAGGGGGGGTACCTTCTGACTGGTTTTCTTGACCACTCCTTAATAATAAGCAACTCTGAACCATAAAACTGTGAATATGGCTTACGTCAATTAGATCTTAATAGAATTCCATTGGATTTGCTAAAATTTCATGGATCAGAAAGATGGTTGATTAATCAGGGGCAAACCCTGGTTATTATTAATGGGGGACATGGGCTCATGGGGGGTACCCTTTGGGAGCTATCCAAACTGATGATTTTTATAAAGATTTTAATTAGAAATCGATCATTTGGGGAATAGTTATTTTTTGATTTTTTAATGATCAACTTAAACCTGAAGTATAACAATGATGATTAAAAAAAGATTAAAAACAATTGGAAATAAATAGAATTGGAAATAAAAACATGTTGGATAAAAAAAATGATTTCAGCACTGGTGGTTTTTTAATCGGGTGGGTTTATTAATCTGGGGGGACCACCTGTTTTTAAATTACTTTTTTGGGGGGGGGGCAATGGTGGTTGATTAATCGGGAGGGGTTTATTAATCCTCACTTGACATTACATGGATCCTATGGGTAGTATACAGTTATAATATGTTAATATGTTATAATTCCACATAAACCCAACCGTCCACCAAGTGACTGTGCGTCAACTTCGCGATTTCGTTGAATTTAGGGCCTCAACTTGCAGGTGTGTCCTTGACATATTCGCTGCAGAAGTATGGACGATCGCTGGTTGGCCTTAGCCCTTCTGAACGACGAGTAGAGATCCGGAGATCTTTGGGAAACTTGGTTCAAAGATCAACGGGACATTTCTTCTTCCATAGGTGGCTTGACCCTCACAGTGCTCCACTCAAAATGGGTCTCGAACTGGGAAGGGATGCAAATGTTGTTCTTCAGGGTCAAGGTCTTGGTTTGGCATGGTAATACTTTTATATACAGCATATCTAATCATGATAATGTAATATATATATATGATATTATTATTGATATGTATAACACAGGTCTATCTCCAATTGTAGTTGGCTGTATACCCTCATTTGCTCCAGGTTCCATGTGGGTTCTCTGGGGCATCACACAGGACAGTTGAATGACGAGACCTTCTTCGGGCGGATTCGTTTTGACCGAAACAACCAGAAGCTCGGTGGTAGCACCACTGCAGTGGGGGTAACAAATTGCAGTAAGTGGGTGATGACTTAAGAACCATACTAAATACCCCAGATATGGACATGGAATATCCTCAGTTATATAATGTTATATATATATATGATATATATATATATGATAATATATATATACCTTGAAACTCAAAAACCTACAAAAACGTGGGATATGAAAAAAACACGATGTTTTTCCACAAAACCCGATGTTTTCAAATTTGCAGGTTTGATGGTGAAGAGAGAAATGAATAGAGTCATCCTATTCCAGCATATTCCAGCATTCCTTGCCACAACCCCCAACAAACATGTGGTTGGGAAACTCTTGGTGGCTCCTCAATTCCCTCTTGACCAGTGGATAGCATAGATAGCCAACATCACCCACCAATGATTCCGATGCGATGTCTATTTTCATATGATCATATGAATCTGTTGAAATATTGCAGCAAAAATGGCAAAGGTGGGACCCTTCTGAACCCGAACAAAAAGTACGGGTTTGCACGGGTAAAGTACGGGTTTGGCACGGGTTTGGCACGGGTTCAGCACGCGTTTCAAAACCATTGTGTTTTGGAAAAACACGATGTATTTATGCCAAAAGTTCGGGTTAGCACGGGTAAAGTACGGGTTTAGCACGGGTTCAGCACGGGTTCAAAATAAGCCCGAACTTTTCTCAGTAGGTTGTCTAAAAATTAAATCCAAGTCCCATACTAGCCCTTCGATGAGATCGATATTTTGGGGCGTACAACCATGACCGCGCTTCAAGCAGTTTTTCTCAAGACTTAGACACAAAAGAAACGCCAAACGATGATCATATCATGCGACTATGATATGACTATGACTATGATTGGTTGATTTGTGTACGTGGTCTGCTTAAGTGATGCCAAATCATGAAAACAACGTTTATTTAGCCATCCTGGGAAAACACGATGTTCTTTCTGGAAACACGATGTTTTCGCAGTGCACCCTGGAAAACACGAGGTTTACATTTTTATCCTGCAAAAAGTTAGGCTTTCGTTGTACTAGGTATACATACATGATAAATTATAATACCCTATGGATCCAAATACCTTCTTAGGAAGTGGGACTGGGGTATGATTTGGGGGGTTGGCCGTACCTTCTTAGACAGTGGCCATGGATCCATAGGGATATAATACATGGCCAGCACCATCAACCAACCAGATCCAACCGGGTTCGCGTATTTAGGCACGTGGTCAGGACGGAGCCATGCCCCGAAAAAATTCAGATGTGTATGATTATATACTGGTTGGTTGAAACTGCATTTTTTTGCCAATGCACTTGGATATTTATATATTATTTTATATTTGGTTGGTGGTGACTGGAACCATGGAATTTTATGACTTTCCATAGATTGGGAATTCATTATCCCAACTGACGAACTCATATTTTTCAGAGGGTAGGTCAACCACCAACCAAATTATATTGGGAAATATAAAGGGATGATCTGTTCTCAGTAAAGGGTTGTATGGTTTCAGGAATTGCCGCGACCTTTTCTGGATGCACACGAAGTGGGGGTCTTTATGATACGGTATGACTTTGTGGAACCGCTATGGTAAGTGGGATGCGCTTTTGTCGCTTTGTCATCCTCTGTTCGGCGTTTGCGCTTTTCGTTCTCAGTCGTCAGTCGGGTATGGGTCAACATGAAAACTGCTGGGTATTTTTCCACATTTTCCCATGATCAAATCTCAAATTAGCCATATAGATCACAGATCCATATCCATGTTCTCCATTTACCAAAATTGTTCCCATCAATGATCGGCTTTTCGGTCCTTCATGACCTCTGGCTGGTGTGGTTAGGCCCGAAATCCCAAGGGTTTCTGAGCACTGCCCCAGAACTGCCCCAGGTGCTGAAGAGCAAATTGCAAAGATCGACCCCCCAACCAACCATCATTTACTGGTTGGTGGTTTCAAACATGGCTTTTGTGACTTTCCATTTCATATATGGGATGTCATCCTTCCCAACTGACGAACTCCGTCATTTTTCAAGATGGGCACATTGCACCACCAACCATCATTTAGGGCTGGTGATAATCCTTACTATTGAAGGTTCATACCTCAATGCGAGCACGTTGTTTATCACACTGGGTGCCAAGTCCTTCCTGGCAAGGTGCTTAACCCCGAAGATCGTTATACCTTGAATATAGGGTCTATAGGGCATGATATATGAATTAGATATTGCTGTCGGCCGGGGTCGGCGGGCATTATACCTAATGAATACTTATTAATGCCTATTAATACTTAGTAGATTCTTATTGATACTTATTGGTCCGATACTTATTGCATCTTAGTGCACCCTTAACTGCAAGGAATGTTGGCCGCTTGCCGATCAGCTGGCAGTTGACAGAGGATGGTGCGCAGAGGCCGAGACGGGCGTCCTCGGGCACTCCCCACAGAACCAGTTAATTTAGTGGTTAATAAGGTCGATAATGGTTGTGGTTAATAGTGGGTGATAGTTGACATTATCCCTGAATAGTGGTTAATAATGGTAAATAATGGTAAATAAATAATGGGGAAGATGTATGATACTGTGGATGGTTGCGAAATCCTGCACCTTGGAAGCCTTGGACCGTTGAAATCCTATAAATAATTGTAAAAACGAAGAGTCAACTGGTAATTCAGATTTCGCAACCATCCACAGTATCGGGGATGATATGGGGATAATAAAATGATTAAAATGGGATATGATGGGGATATATCGGGGGGATAATATTGAAAAAATGCTGGAAAATGATGAGAATGTCCTGGGGATATCATGGGAGCTGGTCATCCCAAGAATCGGTCTTGCGATAGATTTCGGAGCTGGTTAGAATGGCAGTGGTTACGAAGGACTATCGTTCGTGGTTAGGTGATAGTGAAGGGAGCGATCGGAGTATCCATATTCCATTCATCTTCATACCCATATGCTCCATGGTGCTGGTATATTAACTACATTTGAGTGATTTTGTTCGGGTAATGTTGGTAAATATTCCAGCACCATGGTTCGCATTTGGGATATCTGAAGCCTATTTTGCATAAGGAGCGCTTATCGGCATCACGGTGATATATGATGGAATCCATGGCTTTTCTCATCTCACAGATGGCCACTACGCAATGGATACCTGGAATCGATGCAAATTATAGTGAATCTATGGGGTAACCAGGGTAACCATTTACAGATGGCCACGTTAACAAAACAGGCCACAGGCTGGGGAATTCTGCATCTATACAGATGGAGATCTCTGAGATCTAAGAGATCTGTGTACATTGGTATGGTACTATCCCATGTTGGCTGTCAATAGTCACAGTCCAATAGCTATGGCTTGAAACGGACAGTGGATTGATGAAGGATGGCCGAAGTTTTGGGAAAGAGTTTGTTGATGCGTATAGAATCTAACATATATCATCTAACATAGTTATCATCATTTATACACAAACATATTTATAGTTATTTGTACACATTTCACGTGTTCAACCATAGGCTACCCCGTTTTTTCTGGCTGACCTTTTTGAAGCTTAGACTTCCAGTTTTCCTGAGCAATGCTGGCCGTGCAGGCTGGTACTACCACCTGAGCCGCTGGGAAAAAAACGCTGGAATTGGAAGCGCTTCAACCATTTGGGTCTGAAAGATTATAGGGATTCCCAAGTCATAGATCATTTCCGACTTCGAGACACACCGATTTACATCGTTTTTCTTGGTATGTTGGGCGCTTCAACTCCCGGCACATCTCCCCATGGTGAAATTTCCCCCGAAGTCATCCCAAAACGACGAGGTTCACCGTGGAAGAGCTGCGCTTCCCAAGCCCTTCGTGGCAAGTGAAGGCCGGTTGCCCTTCAGGCTTTGGGTCCAGCTTTGGATCGCCCTTGCCCACGGAATGCAACGCCTGTCAGGAGCCGGTTTTTGGCCAGGGGCCCTGGGATCAGTTGATGGTTGAACTGTGGGGATCCGGATGGATTAGTTTTTTTGGGGGAAGTTACAGTAGTTGATATATCTGTTGGTTTTAACAGATGTTGATAGATGATAATAGATGTTGATGTTAATAGATGTTAATAAATGTTAATAGATGTTGATGAATGTTAATAGTAATTTAGTAGTATACTCACAGTTTATTGGTTGTTGAGGGATGAGTGAAACAAAGGCTTTTTGAGGACTATTTTCCCTAGCTGCACTAGGGAAAGCGGTTTGAACCAACTAGACACCCATGTGGCCCATGACTAATGGAGGGTTTTGGCACCTACGGTGGTGCCCCCCCGGTTATAAAGTAGGTGTGTAACACCCTTATACCTGATTAAGAATGATTAAGTATAGACATAGTCACCATAGACGCTACTAAAAAACAGTTATAGACTAAGTTAGCTAACTAGCAATCACTACCAAACGTAGTTGTCCCAAAGGTGCAACTTGGTTGTCCAAGTCAATTGATGGACGGTGGAGCCTCGATGGCCATTCCAGATGTGTTTGTTTTTTTTTCCGATAAGAAGAGTGCATGCGGGATACCAATAGCTATATGGATCAAAAATGAGCAAAAAGTATTCAGCCCTCGGTTTTATGGAATCCATAGGCGCCTATTGTAGTTGAAACCATGTCTTAGGCTGTTTGAAATCTCTTAGGTGTCCTTCTCTTGGGGATGATGATTCAAAATGGCCTTTATTCTCTGGGGATCAAACATGGCAATGGAAAATTCCACATTATATAGATGATTTTCCCAGTAAAATCATTTGAGATCTACATTTATGATATTTTCCTGCTTAGCCAAGTTTGTTGACCAGAGGGTATTTTTTCCGGCTGATACTTCCAACCTCAGATAGCCGCAGAGGAAGGAACATTTCGCTCCACTTCCACGCCACCGCTGCAATTCTCAGAGTGTGAGCCGTGCCCTCTGGGGCGAGGGACCTTGCCGGGAGAGAGAGGTTCGGTGGAAGCTGGGCGATTGAGCTGACTTGTTTTTTTCTGATTTCATGGTGGTCTCAAATACGTTCTTTCAAAGAAGCAAACTGAAAATTGCTTAAGAATTGGGATCTATAACCTCATACTGTACTACCGTACTGTGAATGGGAACTACAAGTGTTTGGGAATGCTTATTGTCTTTAACATAGGTTTTCCAATCCATATTTTAGCAACACATTTCTGACTAAAAAGCTGCGGTGCATGGTTCGTAAGTTAATAATTGAATATTGAGCCACAAATAGAGAGATTGAATTTCTGGGCAACACATGGAAATAAGTGTCTACTCTTTGGAAACTTTGGAGTTGTTGTTTTCTTGGATTGCCATGTTCTCAACACACTCAAAAAGAGTCAGCGACCGGGCCCCGTTGCTTCAGGATTGTCCTTTGTGTCCTGCTGGACGCTATCAGAATGGAAGTTCTTTCGGCATCTGCAGTCCATGCCCCACGGGCACTTTCGCCAACATTTCCGGCAGTGTGGACTGTCAACCATGTGACTGGCTCAAAAAAAGTGGCCCCCATAGGATTGGTCAGTTGGTCAAGATCGCCTCAGGCAAGTTGTGTTTTTCCATTTGTGGCAGATATTAAAAGACATTTGTTGAATACATCATGTATTGTCGAATGAAATGATAAAACCAATTGACAACTGGGCAAATCACCAAGGTGATGTGGATAGCTATGCAGATGAACCGGGCTTGGAAGCTTGGTGCTCAAAATGTTCCGAGATTTTGCAGGGCAGGTTGGACAGGGGTGGGTTGAAAATGGTTGAAATACATATGTATATATACATAATTATGTATATGACAACAAAATACTACCAACATTAATATACTAATATTATGCACTATTTTGCAGTGATGAACAATCATGCAAACGAGTATTTGTGTTTTTTTAGATGCTATTTTGAACGTGAACAGAAGGGGATTCCACGGTTGAACTGCCCCATTTTTGTCAAAACATGTCGTGATGCTCCTGGTGGTGACCAGACTGATGGATCATCGGATTGAAAAATACACAGAATTTTGATGGTTTGTTCGAGAGGTACCCTCTGGTAAACTAACATAGCTGTTGAAAACCATCATTTCTAGTGGGTAAATCAGCTATATATAAACTATAGGTCATTTTCAATAGCTATGTTAGTCATTACCAGAGGCTACGCCACTTTTTTATTGGTCAAAGTCATCATGTCAGTCCTCATGTCCCCCATTTTTCAAGCGCCAGCTGGGTACATCCCAAACGTGCGTTGCGTCCATCCCAGGACTCCTGCAAGCCTTGTCCTGAGAGCTCTTCTCAACCTCAAGTTGGACAAGCATCTTGTATTTGTGACTGGGTGAAGAGAGATATATACAATGTATATATATACACTGTATATCATTGTATATCACTGTATATCACTGTATATCACTGTATATCATTGTATATCACTGTATATCACTGTATATCACTGTATATCATTGTATATCACTGTATGATTATTTAGCCATATATATTATGTATATATATAAATATATACATGTATATATTATAACAACCCTCAAAAAGATCCAGGATGTTCTAGACATTTCCTGTGCATTTCCAGGTTTCCCCCTTTTCTATCTGGGGGGCATTCCTATAAAAAAGATGATGATATCCTGTTCTTTTTGGTGGTTATACTATGTATACTGTATACATGCATACTGTATACATCTAGTATATACATTTTACATAGAAGTGTTGGACTTGAATCAACGTCTTAGCGGAATTCATTCCAGATGTACACTGTGTGGGGAAGGCAATTCTTGTACCTGAAGAAGAGCCCGCAAAGTAGCTCTAGCATGATCCAAGAACGTCATCCGAGTCAACCAGATATCTTGGGGTTTCCATATCCATGGGGGTACCTCAAAATCGATAAAATCCTTGGTTTGTAATGGAAAATCATGGAAGATCCATTTATCAATGGATGAGAACTAGGGGTACCCCCATGGATTGGACACTTCCAGCCATGGCCATGGCAACCAGAAACCTGGGATTTGGCCTTGCCATCCCCTTGGCCGGTTGGGATTTTGGGTTATCTCCATGTTTGATGAACTTCGTTAGTCCCAAGGTGGACAGTCCAACCTATATAGCTGTTTAAGGATGACATTTTCTCCACTTCCAGTCATGTTTCTGGGATGATACCCTCTGGTAATTTAACCTTGCTATGGAAAATCACCATTTTAATAAGGAAATCATGTATAATTAAATGACCCATTTTCCATTTCTATGTTAGTTTACTGGAGGCTATGTCATAGATGTATGTTGATCCAATGACACGTGTCAAGGCCGACTCACCCATTTGGCCGACTCATCCGGACTGGATGGTGGCGATGAGATGGTGATATCCTTTTCCTGCGAAGCAAAGACATTGATAAATGACCCAAAAAGGATGATTTCCAATGACAACAGATCATTGTTGGATATCAACACATATCAACACCTATGTTTTCACATGTTTTTTTTTCCATTCTGTGTGGTGAATAAACATCCACAACTATATACGTAGTATCATACTTTAATGTTGAGACCTGCAGGCTTCACGCTTACCCACAGATGCCAGTCGCCAAGTTTGATTCTTATATTTCATGTTACCCCATGACATCCAACTATATTCCCACTTATAGTTATTTATAGAAGATTTTCCCAGCTATAAACCTCCATTTATAGATGATTTTCCCTTTTTTAGATGATTTCCTATTGCTATATTTGATTCTCGGTATCTCCAATTGTATGTCCCCATTTTTCTTCGATGATTTTGCGATTCTGGAGAGTCTCCCACAATGTATGCCCCACTTGTAAGTTGGTATATAGAGCCCAAGGATACTATACCCATATGCTCCATGGTGCTGGAATATATACCAACATTTGCCCTAAAAATCACCCAGTTTTGTACTTGAATATACCAGCACCATGGAGCATATGGCATATGGGATGTAGTTCGTTATAAGATGTTATAGTGGCGTACCATAAAACATAGTGAGTTATTGGAATTATGTGGCCCCAACTTAGCAAACTATAAATCAACTATAAATCCCCATGTTTTGTTGGATAAATTCCAATATTTTCTAATGTTTGATAGTGAAAAAACTCCAGTAAGAGGCAGGTTTGACAATCCTCAAGTATGAACACTCCTTAAACATTTACAGTTAAATAGTCGAAGGAAGTTTAGAAGTCAAACTTCCGACAATATGGACAGATGAAAAGCAGAGGTGGGAAGAGTCAGAGAGGAGAAGAGAAGAAGAAGATCCAGGTGCGCGAACAGGTAGGAAAGTCGCGAAACACTGCGTTGTTCCAATGATTTGTGGCTCCGGAGGGTCGAAAAGTAGGCTCGCTAAAGCGGCGGGAGCCTAGCCATCTGGCCGGATGAGAGATGAAAAATTGCACGCCGTTGTGGCGCGAAGCACATTTCCAAGTCAAAATGTACAAAGCACACCAGGCTCGGACCACTTTTGGAAGTTGAGATGTCGAAAAAGTGCACGCCATTGTGGTGCGAAGCACATTTCGAAGTCAAAATGTTAAAAACACTAGGGGTTCGGACCACTTTTGGACGCTCAGATGTCGTTTCGCGTGGCAGGCGCAAGGGAAGGTGCACCTTGTCAAAAGTGAGAAAAAAAAACGTGAGGGTTCTGTAGCATTTCAACTACAACCACCACTACACCACACCACATTCCAATACACTACACTACACTACACTACAACTACACCTTCACTACATTCCACTACACTACACTCCACTCCACTACACTACACTACACTCAATTACACTAGACTACATTACACCACGCGACACTACACTACACTAACTACAACTACAACTACAACTACAACTACAACTACAATACATTATATAACGCTACACTACAACTACAAGTACAACTACAACTACACTACACTAATTGCATTACACCACACCACACCACCCCACCCCACACTACACACTACACACTACACTACACACTACACTACACACTACACACTACACTACACACTACACAACACACTACACAACACACTACACAACACACTACACAACACACTACACAACACACAACACAACACACTGCACAGCACACTACACAACACACTACAGTACGCTACAGTACACTACAGTACACTACAGTACACTACAATACACTACAGTACACTACAGTACGCTACAGTACACTACACACTACACTACACACTACACTACGCACTACACTACACACTACACAACACACTACACAACACACTACACAACACTACACTTCACTTCACTACACTACAATACACTTCGCTACACTACACTACACACCACTACACTACACTACGCTACACTGCACTACACTAATTGCATTACACATCATTACACTACACTACACTACACCACACTACACCACACCACACCACACTACACTCAATTACTACACTACCCTACCCCACATTGCATTACATTACATTACACTACACTCAGTACACCACCACAAATGCAACTGCAACTACACTACACTCATTGCACTACACCACAACTACAGCTCCACTACACTACAACTACAACTACAGCTGCACTACACCACACTACATCCAGCAGTTGTGGGTGAGGTGGCCGACCAGGTGACCACTGCAACCATTGCAGCCACTCAAAAAAAAAAACAGCTCCAACCACCTTTCGGTCCATCAGTGGCTTCGCTCTGCCATCCGTGACTCACAACAACCAATCTCTCCTATCGGTTTCCTATTTTTGAAACTTCCGCCACCGCCTTGTGCGGCACTATTGGTATCATAAACCAACAGAAACCATAGTGAATTTGGAGGAACTTGGGGGATTTTCCCAGGATTTTGGAGGATTTCCCAGGGATGACACCAGGTGATGTCGGAAGCTATCGCCAAGCCGGTCTCGACGGTCTCGCCTGCCTTCCTTGCGACCCTGTGCTGCCGGGGGGCACCACGGTCCATCGCAACTCTAGGGGACCGGAGGAGCCGAAAAGCTGGTTGCATTGGGAGTTTTGGCCCCAAAGAGTTTTATATATATATATATACATGTTAGGTTTTTTTGTTTTAATATATATATATATATATATGTATATGTACAGTATATGTGTATAACGTGTGTGTGTGTATATATATATATATATATGGGTTGTATTTATGGCCCTTAACGCTCTTACATGTGATTATACATGGGTTAATCTGGGATTCACCCAATGCCATAAACCTACTGGTACCTTTTGGGGATGACTTGGGGATGGTTTATGAATGGGTTTACCACATTATATATATATATCACTTAAATGAAGTTTTCTGAACCAGTTATAACTGTTGATTTAGCTACAGGAGTTGCTACAACTGAAGGCCATGGTAGAATGGGATTTTGGTAGACTTCCCGGTGGGATTTAAACCACATTTTTTGGATTCAATCAATATGATTTAATGGAACTTTACTTGAACTTTACTTTGAAATTCCCCTGTAATCAAGAATTACTCAGATGGTTCAGTTCATCAATATTTCACTGGGGTTGCAGGCGTAGCAAACTATTTCATGGTTATATATACCAGCTTCTTACCAGGGGGCACCACATTGCAGTTGTTGGAGTTGGAAGCACGGCGAAGAATTAGATAAAATAACAGATGGGAACATTCCTGACTATAATTTATACTTAGATGGGCTGTGGGCTTGACTGGCGATCGGAACTGGGATTTTCCATGAAAATATCCCGTTGGAATCCCACGGCCCATCTAAGTCCAGTTTCAATGGGCCACGGCCATGGAATGTCAACACCAGGACGTAGCATTGGGGGCCCCGATGGTCAATGTCGTCAAAGATTGCAACTGTTCGGGTAAAGTAATAATGCTTCTGGAATTCATAGGGTTTCCCAGCTGGGCGTTTGTGCCACAAGAACTGCAGTAAATGGAGGTGTGATTGGAATCACGGGCACAGTGGTAGATTGCGAGATATTTTTTCAACTGATTTCATGATTTTCATAGCTGTCATGTGCCCTCTAGATCAGTCTAGTAGTTTAACTGTTTGCTGAACACCATTTTTTAGAGCTAAATCATCGAACTACTGAACTGGGCCATGGTTTCTTTTCTAAGTGTAACAGTTCGGAAACCAGCTTGGTTTAACATATGCAATATAATATGTTTTTAATATTCAAGTTCCATAGCCATATGCCCATTTTGGTTTAATTTGCAAAAAATCACTGGATTTAACCCTTCACCGTCACAAATCCTGGGATCGCAGGACTGCGTCTGTCCTTCCGGGACCCATTGGTATCGGCCAAGTTCCCGAAGTCCTCTGGCCTACTGCCGGAGCTGCGCGCGGGGCTTGCTGTGTCCTGGTGGTTTCGACAAAGGTCAGCAGCAGGCGCGGGGTGAGGTTTGTAGAGCGGGAGGATGTTCCCGAAGTTAAAAAGCGGAGGTCGTTTTAGATGGGTTTAGCTGGACAATGGTCGAAGTATTGCTGATGAGTGCTGATTTTCAAAATGTTTGATTGCCAAAATGAAAGTCTCACAAACCATGTAAGGGATTTCATGGGACTTAGTGGGTTACATAAGTTACATGCCAACAAAAACCATGGATTTTTTCTGGGATTTTTCGGATGAATCTCGAGGGATTCACCATGCAGTATCTTGAGGGAAACCATATAGGCTTTATGGTGATGAAGTTAGCATATTATAGTCCAATGGGGCAATGGTATTATCAACATAACTCATAGGATCCATGGTGCTGCTATATATGCTAACATGACTGGGGTATATTGATGGTACATGTTACCATATATAGCATACATGGATCCTATGGGTAAATCAACAAACAACAACTATGTAGCATTCCGAAAGAACTAACATGACGACACTGCCATGTGTTAGGGGTTGGAATACTACGTTCATCTATGTGTAAACTGGGTGATCAGTTGGTCATAGACTGGGGGATTTTCACTGGGTCATGTCCGATTCATTTTAGGAGGTATAGAAACCCAAATGCTCCATGTATGGAATACGTACCTACATTTACCCCAAAAATGGCACAGTTTTGTAGGTAAATATACAATACATAGAGCATATGGGAAATGTTGGTTCAACAAAAAATCTACACCTGGAGCCTCCATGGAGCTTGATGCCTGACGTTTCACGATGAGGAAAGATCGGACGTGACGAATATCGGGTATGGGAGATGTGGAGCCTCCATGGTGCCTTCCAGTTTTGTAGAAGTCGAACATAATCATACCCATATGCTCCATGGTGCTGGTATATTTACCTACAAAACTTGGTTAGTTTTTAGGGCAAATGTTGGTATTCATATTCCAGCACCATGGAGCATATATGGGTAAATGGATGTTGGTCAATGTTAGTCACATGTGCTGAATTATCAGTCCAATAATGTCCAATAGGACCTTTCCGATGGTTGCTTGTGCTTCCCATGCCGGATCAAACTGCTCCGTTCAGTCCCTGAAACTTTCATCAATTTCTACCCGTCCCCGGCGTCCCCGGTCGGTTCGGCCCCCTCATCATTCTCGGGGCACACTTCGCTTCGGGTCAAGATGGGCCAAGATGGGACAACATCACATCTCTCACCCATATGCTCCATGGTGCTGGTATATATGCTAACATGACTGGGGTATATTGATGGTAAATGTATGTAAATGTTACCATATATATATAACATACATGGATCCTATGGGATATCCTTAAGTAACAGTTGTCAAATGTTGTCAACTTTGGTTGGAATCAGGCAACCTCTACCAGCAACTTGTTGATCGGGAGAGTGGAGAAAATGATGAGAAACCCTGGATTTGCTCAGAGACTTCCGCAGATGAAGCAAAAACTCCAAATTTCGTCCTCGTTTTAGCAAGTTCAGATGCCTCTCCACCTTTCTCGGTCACATGGGTCATATTCATATTTCATCAAACTTCCAGTGGATGGTCATATTTGTATTTATGTCCAATCGTTACTGTCCCGTGTTTCAAGTGTGCGTTTACAGTTATCATGTGGTAGTGTACTGTAACATAGCACATGTTACATGGACAGATTTATACATGAATTACCTATTATAAACGTGGTGGTGTTCCATAGCAAACGCCTTAAAATTGCCTCCAGTAAACTAAGATAATGACCTATTGAAAATCCACGTAGATTTTGTCCAAGGGAAAACCATCAATTTCTATCAGTTGTTTTCCCAAAAGTCTAATCGTTTGTCATGTTCCCTATTCAAATGACCATGCTGGTTATGGGCTTCATCATTCCATGTTCAATCCAGGTATCATTTTTTTGGTGGTATTACGTTGGAAAAATAAGCCCATATGGTTGGAGGATTTACATGGATTTACCTATTAAACACGATGATTTTCCATAAATTACCCATAGCTTTTGCCCGAACGCCACAGGCACCATTACAGGCTCGTGGCTATGCCGCCGGCCTGCCGGCCTATCCCGGCGCCGGGCCGGCCTACATCATCTCCTGCAGCAACAACTGGCAGTGCCCGGGAGAACTGCCATTGGGAGAGTGTCAGCCGAATTCCTATGGGTGGCTTGGATGCCAAAAGTGTGGTGGGGTTAGACTTTGGCAAAGTCTGGACATGTGACTATATGGACATCTTTGGACTTTGGACAGATGGAAATCATATCAGATGGAAATCCCATGGAAATCAGTGAAATTTTGTCAAACAAATTGGCACCATCTGGATTTCCCCATGGGATTTTGATCATGTTCCCAGCGAATCGCGTCTCGCAGCTCCACAGCACCGCCAGGACGGCTTGCAACAAGTGCAACGCTGGGTATTACGAGCGTGACGGGCGCTGCCAAAGTTGCTCCGAAACCTGGAGAGATGGCGCGACATGGGATACCGTTACCGTCGTTCAATGGTCATTTTAGAGAATTTGATGATGAAATTTTAGATATTTTTTTTGATGTATATAAATGGTGAATGGTGAATTTGATGTATAGATTTTTTTGTCGGGGGGAACTCTCAGATTGACGAAATTTTGAGCATCGCATGATCTCGGAATGATTCCAGGATGTCGAAGGGGTGGAACAGAAGGATTTTGAAAATGGCAGCGTAGAAACCATGGACAACCATGCATGGAAAATTGCCTTGCGTGATCTTGCGTGGGAAGATCATACACCCCCAACTAGAACACGCAACCCAACAAATGCTTGTCTGGAAGATTATTTGTTCAAGTGGATATCGCCTTTGTGGGGTTTCATGCTCAATTCATAGCAGAAAGTGTATGTCAAAATAGCCATCACTGCATCTATTTACTCAGAATAGGATAAAGGCATTTGATTGAAGGGAAACGATTTGGAAACATACAGGAACTGTTAGGGAAACCGTAAACTGTGGAGCAACAAATTGATCCTACTCGTACAGGGTGATCCCCGTCAAGTTGGTATTCAGCCCATACTTGGACCATTGGATGTGCGGGCACGAATCGGATCCGTGGTTTTCTAATCCATATTTTATATATGAATAACTGAATACCCCATATAACCCATATATTTCATCTCCCCCGCGAAGAAAACCCATATATTTACCCAAAAAGAAAAGTGGGCCCATATTTCATCCCATAAAAATCCAGTGAAGATATTCATGGATATTCCATTAACTTTTTTTTGTTACCCATTAACGAGGTGGGGCCTGCACTCCCAGCCTTTTGCAGGTTTTTGCAGGTTTTTTCTGGATTTGGGGATGACCAGGGGTGAGTTTATGGCTATAACTATGGTAATAACCTAAATTGGGATATAACCCCTCCCAAATGCTCCATGGTGCTGGAATATTTACCTACATAGAAACCCCAAAAATTGCACAGTTTTGTAGGTAAATATAGCATACATAGAGCATATGGGCCTGCAACTATGGTTATATGATAGAACTGTATCCCCAAGTATTGATGAATCTGTCAGAATGTAGTGTTTACCCAATGCCAGAAGCCTCCAAGTTTCATGGTTTATACAACCCGTTTCTGGTGAAATTGAAGATGTTTGATTATTGGATCTACTACGGTGTCATGAATTCTCCTGCTCAAAAAAAGTTTTAGTTGCGGTTGCTGTTGGTCCAAGAGGGCTATCGAAACGGCACCAGGCCACAATTCCACATGTTTTTTTGCTCATTACTGTAATATATTGTGGTTTCATGTGGTAAAACCATGTTTGAGTATAGCAACCCCCAGAAAGACAGAACGGTGTTCCAGGATGGGATATATATATATAGATGGATGATGATGGTTTCCACACATTTTCCAGCTTTCCAACTTGTTCATCTATATGTTTCTATATGTGGTGTTTGCTAAATCATTAACACACAAGCGATTTCAATCGTTTGGCACCGGCGGTTGTCGCGGCGCGCATCCAGGAACCCCTTGATGTGGTACCCATGCTTGTGGCGCTGGCATTTCTACTGGTGGCCGCCGGTGGATTTTATGTCTTTGCAACCCGAATGGATCGGAGTCATCGAGTTGCCCGGCGTAACGTTTCTTCGTCGACGTCCTGATGAAAACATGGTACCCTCTGGTAATGACTGACAGTTTGCTATTGAAAATGGCAGAAATAGTTGATTTACCCATTAAAAACGGTGATTTTCCATAGTTATGTTAGTTTACCAGAGGGTATCTAAGAGGAAACCGTGAATATGATTATTATTATATGATTCTAGTAAAATATCAGGTTTTGAACATGTCATATCCGACCCTTTACAAGTTCTAATAGTAGGGGTATATAAGACTCGTGAGATTAGCCATGGTGGATTGTCGAAGACCTTCAGCCTCGGGTAACACGAAAAATGTGCGCAGTGATGAAAATAAAACCTTGGTTTAAGAGATCACATTTTTCTTCATATGATGCGAAGCTAATCATTAGGAGAATGTGCATTGTCGACAGGTTCAGCTCCCCGAGAACTCCGCGGGTTTGGTTTTACCAGTTTTATCCCCCCTGGCTATCCCATTTGGGTCGCAGGACTCCTTGTTCATCATCATTGCAGCAGCGGGCCTCACCTTTCTCAGCGTGAACGCCCTGCCCATTTTCAGCAAAATCGATGTGCAGCTGCTTGGAGTCACACTAACATGGCTCTCACAACATGATTTCATGGAATAATATGACACCGTAATGATTGCATGGCATGGAATAAAATGACGACTTTGCGAAACATGGGGATAGTAAGGGTGATATATTAGGGGATTGATAGTAGAATATGGGGATATAGAACGATACAACCAATAATCTGGGATAATAAGCATGGATTCAGATCGTCGACTGATTTATACAGAAGGGATATTTTTTGGATGAGGTTTCCATACCTAGTCTTTTGCTATAAGTCCGTTCCCCGAAGAAAAAACACAGGGGTTCCATACCTAGTATTTTTCTATAAGTCCGTTCCCCGAAGAAAACATACAGGGGGTTCCATACCTAGTTTTTTCTATAAGTCCGTTCCCCGAAGAAAATCACAGGGGAACAAACAAATGAGTAGATCATCCTCTTTTTAGTACTATGTTTGAATTTTGTTGTGCATTTGGTTAGTTTCAATGCATGCCAACCAGGAAATCTGTTAACATGCCGTATGAAATATATTAAATCATTTTTTATTATGCACAATTTTCTGTTTTATGATGATATAATTATAGGTATATATTACAATATATTCTATAATGTATGTTTGGTATTCTAAGTAACCAGTCATGCTTGATTGCCAGATAGTAGATCCATAGTTTTGACTGGTGACACCCCTATGTTTGCTGATTAAACCCAAGTTTTGGTTGATTAAAGAGATCAAGAAACATAATTCCCTGTTGCCGGACCCTCCGTTTTTGTTGAAACCAGAAGGTATAGATCCCCACAGTTGGGGGGTGTCTGAAGTTGCCTTCGAAATGGGTTAGGCATTTCGTTCAGAGTTACAGCCGGCGATACGGATGGCCTTGGGAGATCGAAGGTGTGCAATAGCCAGGGGGGCGAAAGCTCAGGCACGAGGTGCCCACACTGGGCATGTTTGCATGGAGGCGTTGTCTATGCCACTTTAAGTGGATATATGGAGACAACATACCGGGCGGCTTAGGTCGAAAAAAACATTGGGTGTTAAATCACCGGGCCTGTGCCAAAAAGACCACCACCCATGACGGATCCATGGTGCTGGTATATATGCTAACATGACTGGGGTATATTGATGGCATCCATGGAGCACCATATATAGCAGCACCATGGATCCGTCATGGGCCATAGCTGCACCATGGCCTTCCGAGGTTAGTGGAGCCTCTGCGAAGTCTTCGTTTGATTCTCTTGGTCCTTTCCTTGGACTTCGACCTACTACGACCCGACTGTTGCCTGAAAAAACGCTCGGGGGGTGTTTTTAAACGGCCGGGGCTGGGTATTTTGATGATCCTCCTGACGTATCGATGTTTTGCTGGGAAAAGGGTGAAAAAAAATGCGGGGGTACCCTCTGGTGAACTAACATAGCAATGGAAAATGGCCATTTATAGTGGATTTTCCCATGAAAAATGGTGATTTTCCATTGCTATGTTAGTTCACCAGAGGGTATAGCCTATATGTTTGGAGAACCCTTTGGGGAAGATGTTTGGATGTGCACCAAAAAACATGTTTGGAATGTCGGTCCTTAGAGAAAATAACAACAACCAGAAACGGCCCAGGTCCTCCAGGTCGTTTCACCAGCTGGTGCAACCTTGAATACAGTGATTTGATCCATGGTTCTACATACGTATTACTATATTACTATATTTATATGCATGATTACATGTACAGAATATACTTTCCCTCATCCCAGTGCCACGATTGCTGTTTTTTTTTGTTTTAAAGTCATGGGGGATCCTCAAGTCACCGCGGTTGTTTCAATACTAAGTCATGGTCTAATGACATAGATGATTTGGGGGTACCCCCATGATTTAGGAAGCCTCCATATATAACTTGATTACAAGTGTTAGGAGAAGCGGAATCACGATTGATGCCAAATACGTTGACATTTTATCTGAGTTTTGACCAGGTCTTGTCAAGTTCATAACATGATTCGCGTAGCATTGCGAGAAAGAAGTTTCCTGGCCCATTTCCGTACTCTCCTCTCCATTTTTTGCACAGCCACTATCAGCATGTTTCAGCTACTGAGGTTGGAAGGGGGGCGGAGAACATCCAGTTTCAAGCTACTTTGGAGCCATTGCTTTGTATCCCTGCGGCTCCATTGCTTTACTATGTCTCTTTGCCATTGCCAAGTTCGTCTTCAAGAAGGACGCAGTACTCCGGGCGGCCAGGTGCAAACTTGGGCCAGTGTGCCAGTGACAAAAAAAAAAAGCGGGCTATTCCTCCATCTCGGCCGGCCAAAATGATAAAAAAGTATAAAAAAGTCAAGTAGCTACTGAACTCATGACAAGTAACGTTTCTATATGTTTGGTGGTTGCTACATACATAGATGGTTGACCACTTCCCACATAGCATGCACCTTCAACTTGGAGATTGGGGAACCAGCACTTCTCTGGGGACCAATGAGTCAGTCACCAGACAGGGCAGCAGCTACAGGTACGAGTCAAAGGCAGCTTTACTAAATATGCATCCCCCATTATTGAATACACAAATACCCCCATTATTAAATACACAAATACCCCTCTACAGTTGACTGCTAAAGTCGTGCCTAAAATTTGGAAATCATCGTAAATAGCTCCGGAGCACTTGATTTGAAAAGTCGTGCCTTTTTAGTAAAACGCATAGGACTTAGGCATGAGTTTCTTGAAGCAGCGATTCCATGGTGATCTACTAGCAAGTTTTGACCCAGGCATGAGTTAGCATGAGTTTGTCGTTTGACTGTAGGTATTGGATCGGCACTTGTATGCCAAAAGGCATTTTTTTCATGCCACGGATAAATTTCAGGAACGACATCGTGCTTATTTTTCGGGCTGCGTCATTTTCATTGGTATATGTGGACCACGTTGGGGCTCAAAGGCAGATATGTACACTTGAATTGGCACGAGGTCTTGTAACCTGGGTTTGAATTTATTAGATTGTTTTCCCAGAAGAAACAAACATGGAAAACACATTAAATGTTGATACTCCCACACATTACGCCGTAAATTCTCCATCTTTACACAGTAATTTCCCGAAACCATGACATATTTGTTTTTCCACTATTTTGCTGTTCATGGACTTGCAGAGTTCATGGAGAAAAGGAGTTTTGTACTGGTCAGGGTATTGGGATCACCTCTTTGTCAGTCAAGCGTACGGATGGTGAGCCATAGTTCCAAAGCCCTCACAAACACTTTTCTTTGGCAACGTCATTTTTGGATGTCTTGCGTCAAATTTCCGGGCTACGTCAGAAAACAACGCCGTTTGGAATTCCGACTCTTTTTTTGTACGCGACACCTATCTAGGTATTCTTCCTATGAGGGCCAGATGGTGGTCTTTTTTTCTTCGGGAGAAGGGATTACTACAGCCGTGGGACCTTTGCTCGCAGGACGTGACCTGGTATGAAGTGAAGTATGTACACGGCGTTCTTACCTTGGCTACTCAGCCATGGAAGCTGGAAAATCTCCGTCGATCTATCGATGAGAGGATACTCCCAAGTGGGTAATTCTCATGGGGTAATGCGCCCCGAACACATAATATAAAAAAGTCAAGGCTGAATTCCTAGCCACCATCCGCATATGGTTGAAAGAAAACCTATGAGCACAGGAATCAGAAATCCCGCCAAACAGATCAAGAGAAAGACAATGACATTGAACTGGCAGATTTTCCCCTGGATTTTCCTGTTGTTCATCCGAATCACAACCAGATTTTCACCAAAAAGATGGACCATTGCGTGACATCAGCCAGCCATGCAATGGGATCAGTGATGGCATAGGTGACGAGATATGAGGAACCCCGTAGTCCTGGGTTTGTTTGAGGTTATTTGTGATTTCATATGTTCTTATTTATGATATGTTTCCTTATGACATATGCCCACCATTTAAGGGAATGTACAGTGACTATTTTTTTGAAACGCTTAAGCAGCCTGCAGATTTTTGGAAACAACGATCCCTGATGCCATGCGCCCAGTCAAGGCTCTCTACGTGGTTGGGTCCTCAGCGTCAGAATCATCAGAAAATGCATGGGCTATTTGTACAATGTGAGGCCCCCGTTCGATAGCTAAGTTGGTTTAGATTCGACCCAGTAACTAGTTCGTTATTTGCGTAACATAAACCATAGTGAAATTGGAGTTATTGGCACCAACTGAACGCTATCGAACGGGGGCCTCACATTGTAGGGTATTTTCATGTCATGGAAATGAGGATACAATGGAAATATCATCACAGGGATTTCTCACCAACTTGATACATGGAGGGAATTGGGTTTTCGATGATTTCTTGGGGGAAATACCAAATGGTCAGCAGATGGAAACATGTCTCCCGTGCTGGTCAAAGGTCGCGGCGACCTTTGCCATTGCAAGTTCCCTACTTTCAGGACTTTATTGAACCAACGGTGATTCCGTACCCTTTCAAGTTTGGGCCTTCTTCAGCCGAAAAGAAACACGAGAACTGCGACAATTGAAACCTCCTGGGTCATCTTGAAACCGTGTGATCCTAAATCCAAATCCAAATATGATCAAATATGCAAATTTAGAATAGTAGACGTAAATCCAAATCTAGTCGAAGTCTAAATCTATACATTTAATCTTATCTACTTTTATTCATCATGATCTATACAAATTTAAAATGTACGTATACTTTTTGTTTTCCCCACTTCCCCGTCATTACGACTTCACGGCAGCATCCTAGCCGTTCCAAGTTGATGACATCCCTGACAATGAGACCTTTACGATGTGTACTGAATCCCGACGGCTTCTTGCACCAGTTATCACCAGTTCGACGTCATGGTGGTGATATATCTGTGGATCAACAGATAAAGCCATGGCATCCTGTTCTCGTGCCATTGGTTTGCTTTTGTTGCTGGATGCCAAAGCTATGAAATGCTTTGAAATATAATGGGTATATATATATATATTATATATATATAGATTATAGCACATACATATTTTTTAAATATAGATAGTATAATGAGGACCTAACCCGCTATAATAGGGATATGGGACATGTGGATAGCACTTTGGTGAAGCCATAGGGACGTCTGAAAATGGTTTATGCCCCCCAAAGAGTGTTTTCAATATTGGGGAAATATGAGGATTTAACTGGTTTTTATGGTAGCCTATTTTCCTATATATATATATATATATATATCTGTTATATAGATCAAACATATCAAAAACCAAATTTGGGATGCATAACACCTGACTGGATCTGACTGACTCACCAAACATTAGCTAATGAAAGGTAATGAAGGTTAATGATCAAAAACAGAGGTATATCTATATGGATCTTACACTCACCCAACTTTTTTGTTTTTTTGATGCAGGTTGCTCCTGCTATCCAAAGGCATTTTCTCATAGTAGGTTTGGTTTCACCCCTTCAGAATTCCACCTGCCATGGTCAATGCGTGGTACCATGCGGTGCTCCAGTGAACGTTCGCTAGGGTTTAATGGTGATGAATCATCGGCTCAGATCAGGAGATATCAGGAGTTACAAAGCCCGGTCAACGCTGATTGAAGCTGCGAAAAGTAGGAATAACATGGCTGCAGTGTATAACTGGGTCAGAAGTGCATCAATATAAACCACATTTTTATATTAGCATCAAACAACATGGGGCTAGCAACTGGATAATCAGCCTGTCATCACTGGGAAGATCTTGTATATAACAGGATGATAAACCATGGTGATTGCCCGTTTACGACTTGGAATGTACATCCATGGAGAACCATGGCAATTTCAATACGTGTGACTTATATCACCAAACCGTGCAGATATGGTGGGAATGCACCCCAGTCATAGCCTGAATGCTTAGCCAAGTGCAATATGTTTATTTTTCCACGTGCATATTATTTGGTCATTCTTGAATGTGAATATATAGATGTACACATACTAGTATGCATATATACATATAGGAGCGGACTTGGGATGTTCAAATTTGTGTTAAAACCTTCACAGCCGATAGGGGGCCACCCACGACTGATACCCTACTTTTACACTTAGCACGGAAGTACAAACCTTCACAAGCGATAGAGGACCACCCACTTTGGCCATGTCCATTGCGACTAGTAAGTAATTTTCTCCGCCACTCATATATGATACAATGCGATATTGAAAAACAATATGGTTTGTGTGTTTAATACATGTCCCGTTTGAGTAAATGCCTGTTTCAGACACCCCTCTCACAGCTTAGTGTCGCAAGGATTCCCCCATGCTTATTACCCTCTGGTGATTTAACATAGCTATTGAACATGGCTATTTATAGTTGATTTATCTATTCAAAATGATGATTTTCCATAGTTATGTTAGTTTACCAGAGGGTAAATCTAAGGCACCATTGTTGGTGAATTCCTGATGAAGTTCCCGATTTTTGGTGGTGGTTCCATGGGGCTCCCATAAATGGGGGTACCCCTAAATCATCCATTTATAGATGGATTTTCCCTTATAAACCATCCAGCTATTGGGGTACCACACATGTTTGACGAGTCAAATCCCTTGGTTTTTGCTGGTGAAAAAAGCCTCTTGCACCAGGTTCCTTCTCCTTGGGATATCATCGTGATGTAATGTGCTGGAGAGATGACACTCATTTCGTGCGGTTGCCCAGGTTGCCAAACGCGCCAAACCCTGGCTGAAACTCAACCAGTTAAGTTCGATGATGTTCCCTTTACATACATCACATTATATATATAATTCTTTAATCACATATGTATATATATATATACACATAATAGACATATAGTATATACATACATACATACATACGTACGTACGTACGTACGTACGTACATACATACATATATATATATAGTATGATATGTTGTATTTTTTAGGTGCTTGTTTTTTTAACGCTTTATTTGTTGTAAGCGGAGACACTATGTAATTGGAGACTCCCAGAGTTAACCATAAAAACTAACGAAACGAAACCTTGAAACATTGGGGAAGATGGGGACTTACCAACAAACATGGGGATTGACAGAGTTGATTCATAGTTGGCTAAATTGAATTGGTGAACATAACGGACCGGGCTGGCCCATGAATCCCAGCTTTTGGAGCTACACCTGCCAGGTGAGGGTCTCTAGATGTTATCAGATTTACTTCCTTCTTCCAAGTCCTGCGAGCTCCAGATCTTAGTGAACACTGCCGGACAACCGCGAGCTCAGAATTGATGCCAGAATAAAATGATAGATAGAATGCCAGAATAGGTGCCAGAATAGATGCCTAAAGGATGTCAGAATAGATGCCAGATAGATTATCAGACAGAATACCAGATAGAATGCCAGGGGAAAATGTCAGAATAGATGCCAGAAAGGATGCCAAATAGGATGTCAGAATAGATGCCAGATAGACTGTCAGAATGGAATGTCAGAATAGAATGTCAGATAGAATGCCAGAATAGAATGTCAGAAAATCAATATGTCATGTATACTTCCAGATGAGATGTCAGAAACTATGACAAAATAATGTCACTGTAGGGATCACTCGAAGTAAAGCAATGACTTTTTTTGGTGATGTTGCAGCCCTTTTAGCTCCTTTGTGGCGGTGGTAACCCTTATATCATGTTTACCCCAAGCGCCCAAACCACAAATTTAAGGCTTTAAGGATGGAATATTCGATAGTTTCCCATTCAATGCCCCATATGCCAATGTGCTATTCTTATCCGATATGTTCCCAAAAAGGTCGCCCCAAAATATACAAGCAAAGTTAGATCAGCATTTTTCCGTAGCGAAGGTCACCGAAAAATCGACCAACTGCACCCCCAGGTAGATTGTGATGCAGGTTGTGTATCCCAATAAATTCCAATGAAAAAGTGGCACACAATGTTCTCTGATCCTTCCTTATCTGCATTATTATATATATATTAACACTTCTTAAATATTTTCAAGTTATATATAGTTACATATCCACTTCAACCCCATTCTACCGCATTGAATACTTTCTGAAAAATCACCGTAAGAATTAAGTAGATGTCCTGTGAATTTCACCGTTCTTTTTCCGAGGTTTCACTGAAGTCCCATGACAAATGGAAAAAATAAAGATATTTGGTGCATAGGAATCATATGAATGTTTTAGGCATCACTTTTAAATGTTTCACTGACACATAATTTCACCATTTTGCAACGCAGCCTGGCCTGGCCTGGCAGTTGATGTTGGCCATGTCGTTCCTGCCCTTCTTTGGCGTGGTGGTGAACTTCGTCGTCACCATTGGCACCATGGTGCCTGGGCGGCTCAGGCTTCGGCCTCCAAAAGAAAGGGAAATTAACTAAACTTGATATGGTCTAGTATGATTTAGTATGGTTTAGTATGGTTTAGTATGGTTTAGTATTGGTTTAGTTGGGTTTGAGTATGGTTTAAGTATGGTTTAAGTATGGTTTAGTATGTTTTAGTATGGTTCAGTAGGGTTTAGTGTGGTTTAGTATGGTTCAGTAGGGTTAGTATGGTTTAGTATGGTTCAGTATGGTTCAGTATGGTTTAGTATGGTTCAGTATGGTTCAGTATGGTTTAGTATTGTTCAGTATGGTTTAGTATGGTTCAGTATGGTTCAGTATGGTTTAGTATGGTTCAGTATGGTTCAGTATGGTTTAGTATGATTCAGTAGGGTTAGTATGGTTTAGTATGGTTCAGTATGGTTCAGTATGGTTGAGTATGGTTGAGTATGGTTCAGTATGGTTTAGTATGGTTTAGTATGGTTTAGTATGGTTCAGTAGGGTTAGTATGGTTTAGTATGGTTCAGTATGGTTCAGTATGGTTTAGTATGGTTTAGTATTGTTGAGTATGGTTCAGTATGTTTTAGTATGGTTTAGTATGGTTCAGTATGGTTTAGTATGGTTCAGTATGGTTCAGTATGGTTGAGTATGGTTGAGTATGGTTCAGTATGGTTTAGTATGGTTTAGTATGGTTCAGTAGGGTTAGTATGGTTTAGTATGGTTCAGTATGGTTCAGTATGGTTCAGTATGGTTGAGTATGGTTTAGTATGGTTTAGCATTGGTTCAGTATGGTTTAGTATTGGTTTCGTATGGTTTGGTATGGTTTAGTATTGGCTTAGTATGTTTTAGTATGGTTCAGTCTGCTTTAGTACTATTGGTTTAGTATGGTCTAGTATGGTTGAGTATTGTTTGTTTAGTTTGTTCTGTTTAGTATGGTTGGTTTAGTATCGCTGGTTTAGTATGGTTTAGTATGGTTAGTATGGTTGGTCTAGTATGGTTGGTTTTGTATGGTTGGTCTAGCATTGGTTAAGTATTGGTTTGTTGGTCTAGCATTGGTTAAGTATTGGTTTAGTATGGTTTAGTATGGTTTAGGATTGGTTTAGCATTGGTTTAGTATTGGTGTAGTATTGGTTTGGTATGGTTTAGTATGGTTTAGTATGGTTTTGTACTGTTTAGTATTGGTTTATATAGTTTGAATTAGTATAGTTTACTATGGTTTAGTAAATATGGTTTAGTATTTGTACCTTTGGGGATAGGGGCAGCAAAACGGACACGGAAATTGGTAAGTGAACTAACTTGAATTCGGTTGGAGATCCCTATTTATGATCGTGGATTATCAGGATGATGATGATGATGATGATGATGATCTACGGGAAATGGTGGTTGTATCACATTTTTTTGAGTGTATTCCAATCAATGTCATGGATTATGGGGATGATGGTCGGACATTAAACGAGATGATGATATCACCTTTTTGGATTATCAGAGACTACTATGTTAGCTACCCGGAAGGTATAGGTGGCGGGGTAAAATTTGGGTTCTGCCGGTCGTACCTGTCCCAGACTTGTAAGAGAGAACATGTTCAGGAACATTCAGGAACCACATTTTTTTCACTGGAACGGTACCGGTACTGCGCGCTAAAACCATCGTCGTTTTTCTTTGCTGTTCATAGATGTTCCCTTGCCAACATCCCTATTAGAAAAAAAACAATGAAATCAATGAAGCGAAAACAATGATTTTCCCAGTTTCTAGGTCAACCAACTGGATGGGTAGTCTTGTAATTTGCTCTAAAATGCTATAGGAATATCTAGTACCACCTAACAATTGGTTGTTTTGCAGGGTAATGACTCGCGCGACTGGAGGTTTTTCGGTATCCCCGAAAACTTGGGCGACAAGGTGGAGCCAAATATGTGAAACAATGGAGCTTCATTTTCGGACACTTCGTGCCCAAGTGCTGCTGGGTTCATTGAGATTTCATATGTCATTTTTTGTGTAAATTGGAATATCGCCGGGTGTTGTGACTATTTTGGAATTTGACTGGGTTTGTCAAAAAAATACGGAGACCCAACATTTGCTATATTGAAATCAGGAAAATCTACGATCCCATTGAACTCCTTCCAGGGGTATCCCAATGGGGTGATCGACAATGATGGAGATCTTCCCCAGATTGACTGGTAGGGAAAGCTATAGACTGGTTTGCTGAGTCTTGGAAATCCACCACATGATTTTGGAATTTGTTATTATTTACCCTTCGGTAATCGATGGCTGGAACATCCCCCCTTTTTTTTAAACCTCTTAAAAGCCTGACATAGGCCTCACTCATGGGAGATTTCACATCCAATGCCGGGGCCAGCGCTAGAGCGCCAGATATCAAAACTACCATGGATTTTGTTGTGAAGATCACAGCGCAAGGTTTATAGCCATATCCCATGTTTTTCGTAGACTCCGTAGTGTAGTCTGTTTGAATCATTTTGGTGTCCATCCAAATGGACGATTCAAAGTCCTGAAAATGGCATAGATCTGGCTAGTTTAGCAACCCATCACAACTAAGCCTCATTCCACTGGCCTGTAGCTTTCGTTGGATTCAAAACTGCGGGACAGATTTGTACAAATCTGGGGCTTGTTCGGTTTGTTTGCTCGCGTTAGTCAAGATCGCTCCCTTTACTACCTATGGTTCCACGGGAATAGAATGTGACAATGTGAACATATAAATACATGACATAATAATTACATATTGTCAAGATACCTACATTCCTATGATTCTTACAATATCATTTTGTTGTTTCAGTCTTATGATTATAACCCATGGGATCCATGGTGCTGCTGTATATGCTAACATGGATCCCATCAATATACCCCAGTCATGTTAGCACCATGGATCCGTCATGGGTTATGATTCTTCCTAATTCTCATATTCCTGGGTTGATCAACCACCGATATATGTCGTGCTTCCTGTTGGTCCAGCTTCATCAGTTGCCCTGCGGCTAGGAAAATGATCTACAAATGCTGGGCTTTCCACGACTGTAGTGACTGTAGTTTACCCCAGGCTGAAGCTAGGAATTGCAAAACTTGAATTGGCTCATTCGGACTACTCAGCCATTGAGTATATGTCATATACTGAAGTGTCGCGGTTTTTTTGACTCATAGGCCACTGAGAGATACTTTTCTGTGCTGTTCAAAGAGAGAGCTCGGTCTGAATATGTCTGAATGGCCTTTGTATCGGTGATTGCATGAGTCATATGGGTTACCCGGTAAGGTTAAGTTGCAGTTCGCTATGGAAAACCACCATTGAAATAAAAGGTGCATAATAGTAGTTATTTACATTATATATATAGTGTGTCATATATTATCACACGTTATCTATAAAGTGGCAATTTCCATAGCTATGTTAAGCAACCAAGGTGTATCACCAGCTACAGTTGACCCAACAGTTGACCCACGATGGGGCACCACTACAGTTGTGGCCCTTACCAATTATATTGTAAAGGCAATGAAATAACTCCTGCAACACTCTCACTGAAATGAGGTTTTTCAAGCCAGTGAGATGTTGTAACATGTTGTAACATGTTGTAACTGTGAAAATGCTGCAACAAAACTGTAGATTACAAAATCATCATTTTTCATGTGATCACATGTTCTTTATCGCAAGGCTATTATTTTGCGCTGATTTTCACTCTTCGCAACTTTGTCCTGGGCATCCTCCCAGCGACCTGGCACGGGAAATTTCTCCAACAAAAATAGGATAGGATAAGTTTTTATGAAAGATCCATGAGACTCAATGATTACCCTCTGGTAATTTGTAACATAGCTATTGAAAATGGCCATTTATAGTGAGTTTTCCCATTAAAAATGGTGATTTTCCATAGTTATGTTAGTTTACCAGAGGGTATATTATAGTTGATACATACTTGATATACACTTGATTCACTTGATATTTATATAATATATATATATATACTTGTTATGATTGATTATTGGAACATATAGTTGGAAGGTTTCATCAGTTTCATCCAATGTGTTTCTTGTTTTCTTGGTGAGCTCATCTAAGAAACTAGTTAGTTATGATGTTACTTTGTTGTAATCACCACACACCCTAGCCACACCAACTTAACCGACTATGCGGCACCGCCTTGTGTACGTTGATCCGTGATAGAACTACCGACATTGTATACATAGATATGTACTGTATCTATTATATATATATACATACATATCAGTATATATATATACAATATTTACAGCAAGTATGATTGATCAATGTGTATATGGGTCAATGTTTAGGGCCCTGTCTTGACAAACTTTGGTCGATGTTTTTACAGGGTTTTTCCAAGGGGAGACTCTTTGGTCGATGTTTACCCAGACCATCCCCAATAGAGGTTGGCATGAAACTGGGTATAACCGGTATGTTCGGAATAGGATGATATAAGATGACAGTCATGCAGTGATGTCATGGTAAACATGGCATTGGATTTTTCTGATTCGAGTCCTGCAGGGTGAGGCATACTGATGGGTTTATCTAAGTGGATCCATGGATCTGTGCTCCAGATCTAGACCTGGGGAAGTGCATGGAATCTTTAACCAGAAAAAAATCTGTTTTGAGCAGTGCTAAACCCTGGTTGATGATGATGTCTAATGCCTTGGATGATTTGGGGGTAGCCCTATTTTAGGAACCACCATTTTAGGTACCCAATTTATACCTGCATTTACCAAAAACAGACCCACATGCAATGTGTTGCCCCCTAGATAGCTAAGTTGGCTTACAACTCTAATAGCTGTGGATTAAAACTATAGTTAATGGGGTTTTACAATATTTATAAAGTAACATATAACTGGGGAGCCCCGTATGATGAAAACATGTTTTTTTTTTTTATATTTGCCGACTCACCTGAGGCGATTTTCATCAGTCACAAGAGCTTGTTGATACTTTCTCTGGCGTTCACCATGTGCTCATATGGCTTCATTCAGGCTGGATAAATCTTCTTTGGATCGCGGGGAGCTGTTGGTAATTTGTGTTAGTGCAGGATGTCCTCCACATGTTTCAGCACTTAGTGGCTAAAAGATGTCCGTGAGAATGGATCAAACATATCAACACCTATATCATCCTATACCGTATGTTTTTATAAGGATGAAGATCCAGAAATCCAAGCTATGTCGGTGTTTGTGAACTAGAGGGGATTTCTTTGTTTTGATGTGTGTGTGTTGATGATTTCCAATTATCTACATGAATCACAAAGTTTCCTCCTAATATATATATATATATAAAAACACCAATATACATAACCAGAACCATAACATATCTAAACGATTCAACACACATGATTGTTCCTTAAGGTATATCCAATGATATCCATGTGTTTAAACAATATATATATATACCCTCCTGTAAACGTTTACATAGATGTGGTGTTGACCTTGTATCATTTTGATCATTTTCCTAGTGCCGCTGAAAATTGGTGTTTCCACATTTTCTTGTATGATTAGCCTAGGGTATGTACTGGATAGCATTATCCATGATCAATAATTCATTACTATTACATATCCATGTTATAAATCAATAACTTCGATTTTATCTCATTTTTTTAATCCCATATATTATACAACATGTTCGAAAGTAGCGTTATAACCCCATTTTCAAATTACAGTGTTGCATAGTTACCCATAGTTTCCAACTGGTGCAGGATTTCACAGTCCATCACCTTCCCCGAATGAGCGCCTGCGATCTAGCCCTGTTGATGATTAGTTCGGATTGTACTATCTACAATGTGGGGACCCCCAGTTATAAGTTGGTTTATAAACCCCATTAACTATAGTTATAAGTACCATAAACCATAGTTATTGGAGTTATAAACCAAAGTAGCTATCTTGGGGGCCCCACATTGTACTATAATGGGGATTATAAGAATCCAACAGGGGAATCCCGTTCTTGACCAACATAATCTGGTGGTTTCAATCATTTTTAGTTTTTTCCCATATATTGGGGATATCATCATCCCAACTGACGCACTCCATCATTTTTCAGAGGGGTACAATGTGGGGCCCCCAAGATAGCTACTTTGGTTTATAACTCCAATAACTATGGTTTATGGTACTTATAACTATAGTTAATGGGGTTTATAAACCAACTTATAACTGGGGGGCCCCACATTGTAGGTATACCACCAACCAACCAACCAGGGGAATGCAAGAGGGGTTTCGAACACTGCAAGATGCAGCAGGTGACACTTTGGCCCTGGAAGACCTTCTCCGCCAACGTCATCGATGCAGGCGGCTGTTGGGTTGAACATGTGCGTTGGGCTTCGATCTACGTAGAAAAAGATGTGGAAAACCTACGGTTTCGGGAAAATCATATTTGTTTTTCGGATTTTATCCTAGACCCTCCATTTGTACCCTTGAACATGGTGTTTCATCCCCAGAAACTTAGTATGTTTTACCATTTTTGGTGGTATTTGATTTACGTGTTTAAACCTAAGTACGGATATAAACAAATGTTGGGTATATCACAGGTTATAACGAACATTAACGAACCATGTTGACTTGTGTGTTTAATGACATGTTGAATCTATACTTGGGTTTAAACAAAATGAAATGTTTAAAACACACACAACATATTTATAGGTTTATGGTAGAATTTGCGTTTATAGTTAGATGTGTCTATAAACCAACTTACAACTGGGGGCCCACATTGTAGATGCAATCGGTGTCCCAATGGGACTTTGTAATGGTCATTAATGCTGTTGAATTTCCCCAGTATAGACGTCTTTTCGATATCCTCGAAGCGATAAGTTTGGGATTTATGTATAAATTTCAGGATTGTTTGATAAGTGAGCACATTTCTTGATGTTCCTGGTTTTCAGGAAATGAACGTTTGAAATTATTGTAATTCATGGTTGAAATTGATTGAAGCACCAATATTTTTGATTTAGCAATCCTGAAGTGTAACATTGGAACTCCAA